TTTTCTTCAAAAAGTGGAACTAAAAATAACAAATTTTGTCACAGTTTTTTATAACATATTAAACATACTTTGTCACAGTTTTTTTTTATAACATAACATACCTTGTCACCCTTTTTAACATAACAAACCTTGTCACATCTTTAAAAACACAACATTAAGAAGATTGTGGTAAAATTGTTGTGACACACTATGTTTTATGTATCAAACAACTCGCTTTTTAACCCTGTGCAAGAGAAGTTGACAGTAAAAAGAAACGAAAATACCACATTCTTTAACAAATCTAACAAACACTCTACTTGAAACAGTAAATTAGAATAATTTTAAAATGAAAAAGAGAACGCTGATCATTAGTAGAAAGCCCTCGTGAAATTGTTGACCTGGCCCGACGAGGTCATTCCTTGATCACGATAAGTAAAGGACATCACCTCGAGCATCAAACTTACGAGTTCAAGATCACATTAAAACTATTTTCGGCCTTTAATATATACTTATAATTCATACCACATACAGCAAAAAGTGTTTTTTAGTCTCTGTATCAAGCTGGTCACTAATTTTGGGAAAGAGGATTGTGTAGGCTGTCCGATAGCTTAGTTGGTAGAGACGATAAACTCCATTCCGAGGGTCTTGGGTTTGAGTCTGTGTCAGACTGCACGGTCATTTTTTTGCACCCTCTGACCTTTATGGAGACTATGTCAATATAAAGATATGGGATTTATTCCCAATGATATTTGTAAGAACTCAAAGTAAAAACTTGATTAGTTATGACATTTTAATTGCATCAATTCCCTGAATGACAATTAAACAAAAAATCTTGGGCTGAAAATCAACGTATGATTCCATGATTTTACTTCCTACATGGAGGATTCAAACTCTACTATAAATGCTTGGTCATGAGACCTTGTCAACAACACTGGAATAAACCGGAATGAACTCTTGGAGCTTAAAAAAATGACTAATAATATACCTGAGTAAATATCATTTAGTTGAGGTGTTTTATTTTAAATCGAAAACTATCAGAATACACTGTATATCAATTCTCCAAAAGAGATTCATATTATAAATTAGTGTTTTAAAAAAGAAGCCAAGTGAAAATCATTCAAACACTTAATCAGTATCCAGTATATTTCATATAATGTCTTGCAAAATAAATATCTAAAACCTTAAAATCTAGAAAAACATATTTTGTCTATTCAAACCATCAGTATTTTATCATTATGATAATTCATGAATAAATTATACTCAAAATACCTTTCATCGTTTGCAACGAAATCAACTTATATCCACACTAAAATCTGAATAATTATATATAATTTTTTTTATTACAGATACCTGTAAAACTCTCACCAATTATATATCCAAATTTGTAATTATATCCCAAACACTTTCAATACTATACCTATCACTTCTAAATAAATACTTTTTATCAAGCACAAGAGAAAACCCCTGTAGATTCTCCTACCGTACTTAAGTAGTACTATCCCGGTGATAAATCCTACACCCAACAATGTACTATGATGAAATTTGTTTAAATCCATGCGTATCCGCCCATTCACAAAGATCTGATCCCCGCTATTTACAGATTTAATATAACAATGGTCAAGAAGAGAAAATTTACCTTAACGCTTCAAATAACCTATTTTAATATTCTATAATCCATTGAGAAACATACGTTTGAATAAAAAAGTTTCCCTCAATTATTAAACAGTGTATTATAAACTCTCTACTACCTTAAACGTTCAATAAAAATCACCCACTAGTTTCTGAACCAAGATATCGCGTTAAGTGGTGAAAATCTAAAGCCGGGGCCGAAATTGATCAGAAAATTAAAGCAAGATAAAGCTTTTGATAAACCAAAAAATTAAAAGTATCTATATAAATAAACCAATCATGAGGTAAGGTTGTTATAACAAATTTTACCAATACGTTCAGCTAGAAAATGTTGAAAAATAAATCTATAAAGATTCAAACATACCTTTGTGCCCTTTTAATTTTAATGAATATTTATGAAACCTGTTTTACGTAAGTTGTCATTAAAGCATGACTTGAAAGCAGACGTCATTTATTATGCGAGAGATGTTTGAACGATTTAATAAAGACAAAATGTATAAATTATATAAATTTTTAAATTTCAAAAGAAAGCAGGAAACTTGTTGGCGAAGGTGATTTTTTTGTTAAACGCGATGGAATGGTGTTTGGTGGGTGGAGTCAGGGTGGGTGAAGGCTTGTGTGTAAAGTGGGGTTTAGAAATGGTTTGATTTGTTGTTTTTTAATTTTCTAGACAATGTCTGCATTAAATGCTGTAAGATGATTCAGATTTGTTATGTTATGAAGGGCAGGGAGAGGGGGTATGGACTGGGCATGGAGGTTGGAGCCTTTACATCAACAGTACTGTTGATGTATATGTTGTCCACTTTCTAGTTTAAACTAGAAGTAAAACCCAGGTAAAGTTGAATATCTTAATAAACTTATGTTGTTGGTTCTAAATTTTTTCCTAATAATAAAAGCAAGAATAATATTAAATAAACTTAAAAAGATTAAAACTAGTTATTAACACTTTCCCTGCCTACATGAGTGGTACACCTCTCATACTTATTGTACCAATGATTTTCAACAATACTGGTGGTATACCTTACATTTAAATATGAAATAATTGGTTTGATTTATTAATTTTTTATGGTGTTTTTATCACATTTGCCTTTTAAGGTTGAAATAAAAATAATCTTATCTCAACTTTGTTTATTTTTCACTCCATAATGTAGGTTTTTTTTATATTTTATATATAAGTCATGAAGTGAAAAATAAGCATTCATATAATGCAATATATTTTGCATTTATAGAAATACCCCTGGCAAATACATTGTATTTTTATAACTTAAATTTTGGCAACGAAAGGGTAAACTGGGGTTATGAAAATGCACATCCCTGCCTTCGGACCAGGCTCCATAATTTTATGATTAAATACTAGATGTAATAAAAGTTTTGAAATAGACTGTTCACAGATCCTGTCACAGGATGAGAGAAATGAGCAGCCTGACCAGGACTCGAATCTAGGACCCTCGAAATACTGACTGAGCTATCCTGTCACTTACACATATTCTGAACCTTGACATTCCCTTAAAATCAACATCCCTTTTATGCTTAACCAGTTCCAGTTAACAGCTCAACTATAGAAGGAAAAAAAAAATCTTCTAAAATAAACACTAGAAATTTCCAAATCCAAAGTAGGTCATTTAATACACCACAAATTTAGCATTATTCGGATAAAAACATTTGTATCAGTAACTGTTAACACTGGAATAAACTTTAAGGAACACAAACCACTTGATTCAAAGCTTTTTATCTTCTATAAGATCTTCAAGGTTCCTTTATCAAATCTCATTGACTTTTTACCCCATTTACGGGATTGAAACAGCTTTTACCGAATTTGAATAAATTCTGAAGTTTTATCGTGAAATTTTTACAGCAATATAAGATTTTTTTCAACATCATGGATTTTTTTAAGCATAGCTACCTATAAATTGGGAAAACCTTGTAGTTAATGCTTTAAACCTGGTGAATTTGTGTTATATTTGAGTTAATTTAATGGAACTGTCTATTCAAAGTTCAAGGGATTTCAACCTCAAAATACAAAATTGAGCTACCAATTTTTTTTTACCATTACTTTATTTAAAATATCTATGATCTACATTATATAATACAAATAGCCATAATTCTGAATATCATGTTTAACTCTTAGCTTAGACTGCTGGTGGAATTAATGCAGACCATTTAGTTCAGACAATACTTTGGTGTGTCTGATCGTGGCCTGCACTGTTAATTATTCAGTGTCAAGACAAATTTTTTCCCAAAAAATTGTGAATGTTTTTGTCCACATTTAAAGATGGAAGAGTCCATTTAAATTATTTATTTTTAAACATTTAGTGAGGAGTTTCTCCTGTTTGACTTTTTGTGAAAGGGAGACAACTCCAAAGTAATAAAATGTAAATTATTTCAGTACAGTCCCTTTACATGACAGAGATTTTTTTGCAGTTGAATGGTTTCTAAGTATTTAACTTGATACAGTTAAATTATTAATTTCATAAAACATTAATTTTCAGTCTCATTGAAACAAAAATTTTCTTGCATCTCAGGCAGGATTATCTTCTGTTTACACCGGTGCTAGAAAACTCTGTCTTACACCCCCCATGTAAGACAGTCGCATGCTTTAAATGACGTCATTGATGCGCGCCTTTTAAAAAATTATCTGATATCACAATACACATAACTATATGAAATGAACAACAATCTTATGTCTCTTTGTTTCGAAAACTTTTCTATAACATTTTACAAAAATTTGCCTGAATTTATATAATTATGATAATTATATTTCTTCTCTTGGTTCATAACATTTTTATATAATTATGATATACAACTAAAACCTCATGGAATCTTCTAAATTTTCGTTCAAATTTTCCTAAAAATTGAAAGACTTCATTTTTATCCATAACAAAAATGTTTTGTATATTAAATTTTATTAACTTCTTCTTACATTCCTTATAAAAAACTGAAATAACTTGCTAAAAATATGAAAGCTACATCTTTGAAGCCTATTCTTGGTTTGTATAATAAAATGAGAAAATTAGTAGAACCAGTGATGCTGAATATAAGTTAATTAATTAGAAGAAGAGTTATGGTTCTTGCATTTGACTCACTTTCATAATTGAGTGATCATATTCACAGGTGAACGTCGCGTGGCCATGACTTACACTTGACCACTGTTCCCCCTCTACAACCCAAAACCCTTAAACGTTATCCAAACATCATAAGTATTGACAAAAATAAATTAAATGAAAAAAAAATGTTTATGACTCAAAAATTGATTTTTGTCAATATTTATGATATTTGGATGATATTTAAGGGTTTTGGGTTGTAGAAGGGGAACGGGGGTATAGTGTAAGTCATGGCCATGCCACATTCACCTGTGCTTCTGAGCAAAAGAAATCATATAAAAAAATTCTCACCTGATAATATTCTCGTGTTGATCCATAGCTAGGTACAATACTGATACCCAGGTTTTCATCCGGATCTTTATCTATCCTCACATTATATGTTGCGAAACCTCCGAAACCTTCATCTTCACTGTCCGAACCATCTCGCCGTCTCTTTATTTGAACTGGAACATCAGTTTTAGGTGACCTTTTACCTGATTTCTGAATGGATTCATTTTTGTTCTCAAGAGGAAGTGGGGAAACTGAAAATGGAGGTAGATCTTTTTGTCCGCGTTTGACACTCAGCATAACGCGAAGTGGCATATCTTTGAACACTTGAATACATTCATCATGTGAAAGAGTTCGTAAATCGTTTCCATTTACCATCACAATATCATCCCCAACACAAATGCCCTTACTACTCCCTGTTGCCCTGTAAGCAGCGCCACCTAGTGTGACACTTTTCACAGCAACAGATGTAACAGTTCCGACTCCATCTTTCCCGCCCTCTATTCCAAGGATCATACCCAGGTTCTCTCCTGGCAGTCTATGAAGCATTAAGTTATCAAGTCCATCCTCGGAGTCCGAAACATTGTCACTTTTAAAGCTGCCATGACTCGGCAGTTTCTGGTATCTCCCATAAACGGGATACCCAGTATGAACCGGGGAACCAGAATCAGATATTGTACCTTCAGAATTATCATCCTCCCCAGAGCTATCAGTTGTTGTTAAACCAGTTTCATGTATAGGATAAAGTGACGATGACCCACTATAACCACTGTCCGCATTGGAAGAATTCATCTGGTTTAAAATTTTACGCATCTGAAGATTTGTTTGACGATCGGTTGTCTGGTTCCCAGGTAATCTTCTTCCTGAATCCTGATTCCCCCCGATTTGTGTATCATACATAAGTTCCTCGCCATAATAAATTCCATACTCGTCAGAATCTTCACTATATTCTGACGTTAATGCAGCGTTACCGAGATCCCAGTCTGAAGTATCGGACTCGGTACCCGTTGTATTGTCACTCTCCATTTTGGCGCGACGTCGCTCACTGCTTATCAAATATTTGCCGAAATCTAAGCCAAGGACACTTTGACTTCCCCTAGGTGAGATTTTTTCCTGTAAAATAAACAACTATTTAGAAACACAAATTAATTAACATAAATATGTAGAAATTTCACTCACAACAACTGAAATGGAAATTAAATCCGTTTTTGAACACAAAATTAGTTTGATTGCAAGCAGTTTATTTCTGACTTGAATTAATTTCATTTTAATACACAGCTTTTTAAACCTATATAAATGATTTTTGTTTTTTGTAAATGAAATCTGATATGCTCAACTAATTTGTTTTATTCATGAATTGATTTTTATTTAAAACCGCATAACTTTTATAAATTTTAAACTAATTATATTTGCGATTGTTTGAACTATTAACAGTAATAAGATCTGGGTAAATTTCTCAATTTGAAATTATATATTATATTCTGCATTTGTTAAATAATATTTTTATGAAAGACATGAAATTCCAATGCCTTTGTTTGAAAAAACCATCCTGTTTCCTAGTAAAAGGAAATAAAAAGACATATATCAAGGTACATGTATAATAATTTTTGATTTAAGTTCAATTTGAGTTCAATTATTAATTTGAAATAGTTTTCATGTGCATTGAAAATAGCTGATTCCAGACAGAGGCTGAAATGTCAATGAAACAATGGATGGGCCAACATCTTGGATCAATTTTCTCTTTAAAAAAAACTGGAGTTATCTATTTCATTATTATCATTATTATCTATTGTCATCGAACAACAGAATTATCATGCAATGTCTTGGTTTAAACCAAAGTAAAATATGATAACAATAATTGTAATATCATGATACTACAAATAACTACATAGTACTTTTTTTTTAAAATTAAGGGAATTACAGATTTTATTCTACTTACAATTCTGTATCTGTCACACAAAAATGATTAATGCAGTTACCAGTAAATAATAAATATCCTCCTTTTTTATATAAATATTATGCTAAACTAAATCCATATTTTATTTAAATTCCAAAACCTTGGTGTTGAGTAGGGCAAAACTGTACAATGCCATTATTCACAAACCTATTTTACGAAAGTAAAAAAACAAACCAAGAAAGAATGTTATATATTAATACATATATTATTTCATATTCAGCTAAAGAAATAGTCCGACAATCATTCACATAAAAAAACTCCTGACATTTGAGAATCTCTTCTTTGACAATATCACAAATAACAAGAAAAGGTTTTACCTTTACAAGTTAATAAATTATTCACAACCAGGTATTTTCTTCAATCTTAACAACTGTGCGCAAAACATGCAAAATAGTCGAAACGACCTAATGTCGGATACTGGGGAATCATCTATAATATTAGTCCGAAACAATCACAGGCTCTATCAGGACGAGGTTAGAGATAATTGAATTTTCAATCAATATCATCCCTATTGTGTTGGGGTATGGTTAATATAATATAAAGATACCTGCCTTGGTCTCTGTCTCGGCCTTTATTGAATACTGATTTAATAGTATACATTGTATAAACATATGTTAGCATAGTATTGTATTATTATTAAATTAGTGAAATGTTTATTATCAAATTATCGCTATCTATTGTATGAATGATTAATTTATCGGTAATTTGATTTTCATACTAAAATGCTATTTTAAGGGCTATCCAATGTTACATGTGCACTATATTTTTGTATATTGTTTTTGTTATTGTATAGAGGTATACAGAAGTTGTTTTATGTTAGGTCATGCAGCCATATTGTTTTTGTGATTTTGTAAAAGTAGCTGCACATTTTAAGTTATGCAATGTTAAAAATAGGCACATTGTTTGTTGTATCAGTAACTGCTTCTACAAAACTAGTTCACACAAAGTACATTTGTAGTTAAAAATTATAAAGCGTAGTTATAAAACACCTGTTTGTTTGTGTTTAAAATAACAGGACTAATTATTGTATTACATTCCTGATTAAGGTTATTATTTAGTATTTAAACTTATTAGCATGTTGAATGCAATCATAACAACCTTTGCAATCGGTATGTATCAAACACAACGTCAATCAGTTCACTGTCTTATTAATTACCATGCTATTTAACAGTCGCCCATTATTTCTTTTTTAACTTTCAAAAAAAAAAATTCCATAAAAATTAAAAAAATTATGCAGATAACATTTTATAGCAGACAACAATTTTCCCAGCATTTAAAGGATTAAGACAGTTACACAGTTATCATTTTTTTTAAAATTCACTCTTTATTAAAATCTTTAGTTTATACACATTTACTTTAATTCAAATGTGTTGGAAACTATAAGCCTATTGAAACACTCTCATTCTGTTCCTGGAACTAACAAGATTTATTATTACACGTATTTCAAGCACATAATACTGCGGACAAGCCAGAATACGAGAAATGAGAATCTTAGGTGGTAAATAAGCAATGTCTCTAAAATATGTAAGAGCATTAATTTTTAGGTGTTACATTCTACACAAGTGTTTATTTGGTTTTACAGGACACCAACAGAATTTCGGCCATATGGCGCTGAAACAGGAAAGATGATTTTGGCTTACCTCCGTGTTACAAATTTAAAGCAACACCAAGGGTCAAAACCACTTCAACTGCTGGAACTAAGAGATACATAGACGCCAGTAATTTGAACCCATTTAGTCTCATCTTACGATCATGCAGGGTTAAACAGTGGCTGTAATTCTGATGCCTCAACCCATAAAAGGCAATCCCTCAGCCACAAGGGGTTTCTACATAAGTTATTTAGTTTCATGTGAGGATTAGCTTTCAGAATGTCGGTGGTTCTACTCGAACCTGAAATGATGTACAGGTATGGACACATGCCTTTCTCCTCCCGAGTTAAAATGGAAAGATGCCATGTGATCTTATGAACCAAACAAACAAGATTGGGATTGTCATGATTTCTTATAATAACGAAATAAAGAGATATTGCTTGTACAAAGTGTTGTATGACAGAAGAAATTTAATCCCTATTATATATCCCTACCTAAATATTTTTAAAGACCACTACTGTATTGGATAAGTATTATCTGAAATTGAATTAATACATTAAAAACAGCAAATAATATGAAGTGGAGAGGGGATTTAACTTTATAATGTAAAGTTTCAATGAAAGTAGATCTGAGAATGGATTGAAATTCCTCAATATATATTTTTTCTAATGACTAAAGAATTTGCACGATTTTATTATCTTGCGAAGATTTTTTAGAAGCCTATATTGCTAATCTTTCAATGCTATACTTATAACGTTAAAGGCATTTTTCCGCCTACTTCTATTAACATGTTAATCTAGAAGGAATTTTTCACATGGTTCAGAATTAAAATTTTAATAAATTTTAATCAGGCTGTTTGTTTGCTTGTTATTTATTCTGTTATTCTGATTTTAACACATTTTTGTTCATGTCATGGTGGTCAGTCCACCTAACCGGCTTTTCTTGATAATTAACCAGTAATTAACAATTTTGACTACTTATTCTACACAATTTCTGAATCAGAAATGGGAAACAAATGGCCACATGAGTCAAGTTGATGTTTGAGATCTATTGCCACGGCGAAATTTTTTCTTGCCCAAGGATCGCACCAGCAACTGCTGGTTTACAAAACCAATGCTCTCCCTATCGAGCTTAGCCGGCAGACTGGCTTTGTACAAAATACTGTTATAGTACATGGTTCCAGTTAGTAACCATAGTTACAATAAAAGATAAACTACATGTACCTAACTTTTAGCCCTATTGCAATGCCAATATTAAGATATACTGTAATGGTTCCAATCAGTAACATAATTGAATGCCTGCATTAATAAATTGACATTCTTTATTCTTAAAAATATCCATTTCCATTGCTTTTGAAATAAATACAATCTTCAGAAATTTGCTTATTGTAACTCATTCATATATATCTTTAACATTTCAAAAGTAATTCACTTTTTTGTTTTTTAACGTCAAAGACAACACTAATGTCTTTTGACATCATTTTGTTGAATGACGTTAAGGGTGGTTTTCTGACGACGACGTTCAATTATTTTACTGATTTATTTATTATGCAATTGAACATGACATTATATTAAATATTACATCAAATCATATTCCAAATTTTACCTGTATAATTGCTTGCAAAGCTACATCACATCAGTAACAACACGGCAGTAAAAGCGCAATCCTGTAACAAGACAATATAACACATAGTGCGACCTTCACCCCAACACAGCATAACACACAGAACACATGATACCATAAAATTCTTTCTGTCACAGACTGAGAAAAAGGTGCAACATAACCGAGACTCGAACCAAGGATCTTCAGAATAGCATTCCGCAGCTCTGCTGACTGTGCAGTTTACACATTTTCTCCTCATTTAATGAACATAATCTATACCTTGACATATAGTAAGTTGTGTTTCTTTCAAAAATACAAAAAATATCTTTGAAATGGCATCAGATATTTATTTTTAACTTATCATTTATGTACTTCTTTCTAAATTATTGTTTTTGTTCTGTAATAATCTACATTTACACAGAGGACACAGCAAGGCGTAAGACAGACAGCATGTTTTCAATTTCATACTCATTTTTTTTGTATAAAAAGACACAATACTTATCTTAACTAAATTGTTTCACTTTAAAATTTAAAACAAAGCAAACTTGAAATGCAACTAAAAAAACTTCCTGTTAATACATACCCAGTTCTTTTTTGCAGAATAAAGAATTTAACTTGACATGTGTAAAGTATTTCTTGTCCCACAATAATCTAGACCCCTATAGCTTTTGTATCATATGAAAAATTCAAAAAATAGCAGGGCATATTTAATATGCAAAGTGCAAAAGGGAGAAAAAACAACTTCAATCAAAACAAATATTGCATTTTTAAATACTTACGTAATTGTCATTCATTTTTTAGATAAGACCCAATAGGTCCTCTGTTCTGATGTTGGCAATCCTGAAATGTTAAAAATGTTCATTGTAAAATCTACTAGTACCATTATCAAAATTTAGAAAATATTCATGTTATGCAAATACTACATGGAGGCTTACTCTTCTTATTATGGGGCAATATGGGTTATATTGCACAGTTAAGTGTGATATATCTCACAGTTTAAGTGTTATATTTCTAATATTCTTACCAGGCCAGAAGTTGTGTGATTTTATACTTTCATGGTATGTTTAAACATCGTTTTATGGTAATTATATGGCATGTATGCATGATAAAGAATGGAAAATTCTTCTGGCTAGTGAGAATATAGGAAATATCTCACTTACTTTAGATTTAATCCATTAAATTATTACACTTTATTAAAGCAAATTGGTCTAAAACAGGTCTGTTATATAATAAATAATTATGTTGATACTATTCAGTATAGGAAAGAATTACATAATGGATGTTGTTGTCAAGTGTGAGATACATGATCCAATATAACATTATACAAAATGTATTATATAGCAAATAATAAAATGTTTTAGAATCATCATATTAATTGTCCATACTACTAAATCACTTATAACTGTCCAAACATTTTTTTTCAAGCAATATTTTATAAGAATATTTAAGTGATACATCTACAGTATTTGAAATACTTGTGGAAAATGTGCCCATTGTAGACCAATTCACTTTAAAGGTGGTACATGTGAAAAATGGGAAAAAATCTTAATTTCAGGTTATTTATCTTAAGAAAAACAGTAAATTATCAAAGAATATGTGACATTTACTTAATGAACAACATCATTTGAGCCGCGTCACGACAAAATCAACATAATGGGTTTGCGACCAGCATGGATCCAGACCAGCCTGCGCATCTGCGCGGTCTGATCAGGATACATGCTGTTCGCTTACCAACTCTATTACAAGTAGAGAAACTGATAGCGAACAGCATGGATCCTGATCAGACTGCGCGGCTCTTTTATCTTTATTTCCAGGTGTTTGATGAATTGACATGCAAATAAATTTCTTTAATACCTGATTTTTTTCAATAGCAATGAAACACATGCTCTTCAATTTTAATTTACCTTGTTACATTATTATGGTATGCCCTCCTCCTTAACTATCACCATGCATAATGGAAGCTTATATCATATCTTCTATAAAAACACAAGTATCCTTTAATTGTCACATAAATTAACGCACATAAAGATAAATTAGACAATAAGCCGTCCCCATTACATGTATAATCTTAATCCAGTTTAACGTCAGTGAATACGTTAACAATAGGACGGTTTCATTTGGGGTATCCGAAAGCAAACATTGCAAGCTACCCTTTATCACCAATCGTAGGAATGTCCGTGTGTAAACAAGGTAATATTAGATAGCGGTCAGTCCTTCAAGTCATTTATTTTGATAGACATAACCAGTTTACCGTGATAATGGCTAGGATATAAACAAATCATCATTTTACAAACATTTTATTATCCAAATTTCTCAAAATTTTACAATAAAAAACTAAACCCTGTCCAACAAAACTAGAGAAATGGCTGTAATATTTTGATTTCTTTAATAAGTTTTGAAAAAGATTTATATATTTACAATAAGAATGTATTTAATAATCAATAAACTCAAAAATATAAATTTGGACTTTGAATTTTGAACTGCCCATTTTAAATTTAAAGATTTCAATACTAAAATGTCAGTTAAAAAAATATTATATAACTGAGCAGCCAACAGTCATCAAGTCTGGTCAGTAATGGTACGGATGTGCCATTTTAATTTCAAAACTGTTGTTGTGAGGCTTGTCTTAATTGGTTATTACCACTACGATTTGATATGGTTTAAAGCAGGGGTTAAAGTGTTTAAATTGGTAAAAGGCAAGGGTTAAAGTGGCACAAAGCAAATGTTAAAGAGGTACAAAGCAAAGGTAAAAGTGGTAAAAGGCTAGGGTTAAGTGGTACAAGGCAAGGGTTAAATTGCTACAAGACAGTTTTAAAATAGTACAAGGCAAGGGTTATACTGACCCAAGGCAAGGGTTAAAGTGGAACAAGGCAAGGGTTAAAGTGGTACAAGGCAAGGGTTAAAGTGGTACAAGGCAAGGGTTAAACTGACCCAAGGCAAGGGTTCAAGTGGAACAAGGCAAGGGTTAAAGTGGTACAAGGCAAGGGTCAAAGTGGTACAAGGCAAGGGTTAAAGTGGTAGAAGGCAAGGGTTAAAGCTGAACAAGGCAAGGGTTAAAGTGGTACAAGGCAAGGGTTAAAGTGGTACAAGGCAAGGGTTAAAGCGGAACAAGGCAAGGGTTAAAGTGAAACAAGGCAAGGGTTAAAGTGGTACAAGGCAAGGGTTAAGTGGTACAAGCAAGAGGTTAAATTGCTACAAGACAGTTTTAATAGTACAAGGCAGGGTTTATTACTGACCCAAGGCAGGGTTAAAGTAGAACAAGGCAAGGGTTAAAGTGGTACAAGGCAAGGGTTAACTGACCCAAGGCAAGGGTTCAAGTGGAACAACGGCAAGGGGGTTAAAGTGGTACAAGGCAAGGGTCAAAAGTGGTACAAGGCAAGGGTTAAAGTGGTACAGGCAAAGGTTTTAAAGCGGAACAAGGCCAGGGTTTAAAGTGGAACAAGGCAAAGGTTAAAGTGGTACAAGGCAAAGGGTTAAGTGGTACAAGGCAAGGGTTAAAGTGGCACAAGGCAAGGGTTAAAGTGAACAAGGCAAGGTTAAAGTGGCACAAGCAAGGATTAAAGCGGAACAAGGCAAGGGTTAAAGTGGTACAAGCAAGGGTTAAAGTGGTACAAGGCAAGGTTTTAAAAGTGGAACAAGGCAAGGGTTTAAGTGGAACAAGGCAAGGGCTAAAGTGAAACAAGGCAAGGGTTTAAAAGTGGTACAAGGCAAGTGCTAAAGTAGTCAAGGCAAGGGTTAAGTGGAACAAGGCAACGGTAAAAGTGGTACAAGGCAAGGGTTAAAGTTGAACAAGGCAAGGGCTAAAGTGGTACAAGCAAGGGTGGTTTAAAGTGAACAAGGCAAGGGCTAAAGTGAAACAAGGCAAGGGTGTTTAAAGTGGAACAAAAGCAAGGGTTAAAAGTGGTACAAGGGCAAGGGGGTTAAGTGGTAAATAGTTACAAGGCAAAAGTAAAATAATACAAGGGCAAAGATTTATTAACAGACAGCAAGGGTAAATCTTGGCAAGACAAAGGTAAATGTGGTATAAGGCAAGGGTTAAAGTGGTTACAGAGTATTAGGATTTAAGTGGTAAAAGGCAAGGATTAAAGTGATACATTGGTGATACAAGTGAGAGTTACAGTATCATGGTTAAAATGTACAGATATAATTAAAATGGTACAAAAAATGAGGGTTAATGTAGTATGAAGTAAGGCTAAACGCTGTACAAGGCAAGGATTTCAAATGGTAAAGTCAGACGTTCCCCTGCTCTATCAAATCTTATAACCATTTATTACGATCGAAGGGAGAAGGCAAGAAAATTTAAACCATTTAAATATAATTCAATTTTCCTTAATATTCAATTTGTAATTTCAAGGCAACCTATATTTATCTGTGTTGATTTTTCACACTGTATTTCACAAATCAAACAAAGTGTTGAGGTCAAGGCACAGCAAATATCCCCAAATCAGAGCTGGATATTTACTTTGGCAAGGGAACGCATTAATTGCAATAAAATGAACATTACATTGACTTTAACAGGTCGCATTTATCTCAACTTCTGTCAGTTAACTTGATAACATTTATCTACTGTAACTTAATTGAATTTTTCCACATGAAAACTAAAGTGGAACAAGGCAAGGGTTAAAGTGGTACAAGGCAAGGGTTAAAGCGGAACAAGGCAAGGGTTAAAGTGAAACAAGGCAAGGGTTAAAGTGGTACAAGGCAAGGGTTAAGTGGTACAAGGCAAGGGTTAAATTGCTACAAGACAGTTTTAAAATAGTACAAGGCAAGGGTTATACTGACCCAAGGCAAGGGTTAAAGTAGAACAAGGCAAGGGTTAAAGTGGTACAAGGCAAGGGTTAAACTGACCCAAGGCAAGGGTTCAAGTGGAACAAGGCAAGGGTTAAAGTGGTACAAGGCAAGGGTCAAAGTGGTACAAGGCAAGGGTTAAAGTGGTACAAGGCAAGGGTTAAAGCGGAACAAGGCCAGGGTTAAAGTGGAACAAGGCAAAGGTTAAAGTGGTACAAGGCAAAGGGTTAAGTGGTACAAGGCAAGGGTTAAAGTGGCACAAGGCAAGGGTTAAAGTGGAACAAGGCAAGGGTTAAAGTGGCACAAGGCAAGGGTTAAAGCGGAACAAGGCAAGGGTTAAAGTGGTACAAGGCAAGGGTTAAAGTGGTACAAGGCAAGGTTTAAAGTGGAACAAGGCAAGGGTTTAAGTGGAACAAGGCAAGGGCTAAAGTGAAACAAGGCAAGGGTTAAAGTGGTACAAGGCAAGGGCTAAAGTAGTACAAGGCAAGGGTTAAAGTGGAACAAGGCAACGGTAAAAGTGGTACAAGGCAAGGGTTAAAGTTGAACAAGGCAAGGGCTAAAGTGGTACAAGGCAAGGGTTAAAGTGGAACAAGGCAAGGGCTAAAGTGAAACAAGGCAAGGGTGGTTAAAGTGGAACAAGGCAAGGGTTAAAGTGGTACAAGGCAAGGGGTTAAGTGGTAAATAGTACAAGGCAAAAGTAAAAGTAATACAAGGCAAAGATTTAATAACAGACAGCAAGGGTAAATCTGGCAAGACAAAGGTAAATGTGGTATAAGGCAAGGGTTAAAGTGGTACAAGTATTAGGATTTAAGTGGTAAAAGGCAAGGATTAAAGTGATACATTGGTGATACAAGTGAGAGTTACAGTATCATGGTTAAAATGTACAGATATAATTAAAATGGTACAAAATGAGGGTTAATGTAGTATGAAGTAAGGCTAAACGCTGTACAAGCAAGGATTCAAATGGTAAAGTCAGACGTTCCCCTGCTCTATCAAATCTTATAACCATTTATTACGATCGAAGGGAGAAGGCAAGAAATTAAACCATTTAAATATAATTCAATTTTCCATTAATATTCAATTGTAATTTCAGGCAACCTATATTTATCTGTGTTGATTTTTCACACTGTATTTCACAAATCAAACAAAGTGTTGAGGTCAAGGCACAGCAAATATCCCCAAATCAGAGCTGGATATTTACTTTGGCAAGGGAACGCATTAATTGCAATAAAATGAACATTACATTGACTTTAACAGGTCGCATTTATCTCAACTTCTGTCAGTTAACTTGATAACATTTATCTACTGTAACTTAATTGAATTTTTCCACATGAAAACTATTTGAACAAGGGTGCCATAGTCACAAAATACGCCCGTTTACGAAAGCTTTAGATGGAGATGGGGGCATTATGGATAAGTGTTATCTAGCAAGCAAGTTTTTATCCTTGGCACTGTGTTGTTAAATGAACCTTAAAACAAATCAGTAGGGAAGATAAAAAGTACATGTAATTGTAATTTAATAACTAAAAAATTCTGATTCAAGATTTTATTCTAGGGAAATACATTTCATTACAATTCTTAATTTTTGAATGAGCTGAACTGATATTTACTTGAAAATTAAAATATAATTAAATTTCTATGGGAAAGTATTTACATTTGATAAGGTAATTACTGTATGATCTTTATGAACAAATACCAAGTCTACAGAACACCATAGTTATCACAGTTAAGAATCTTGACCAATGAATGCAACATGTGTAAATAAATGTTACATTCTTTAGAACATACTCAAGTCCAAGAAAGAGGATTATTTTATGCCCTTTGATTAAATTCTATTTTTAGAATTGAAAGATCAAGGGGAGTAATTGTGTAAGTCATTTATGAACAAAGTAATAACTTTGTTGTCGCCCTTTGATTAAATTCTATTTACAAAATCTGGATATTTTATCATCTTTAGTGACCTTGACCTTGTATATATTGACCTAAATTATATGTATCACAGCCATAGTCTTGATTATGACCATTTGTGTTACAATCCGTCAATAAATGATGACTAAATGGTCCATATACACATCTTCATATTTTTATCTGAACTTTGACCTATATGTGTGACCTTGACCTTGGCCGCAAGGACCTGAATCTTGCACGCGACACTCCGCCTCACAATGGTGAACATTTGTGCCAAGTAATATTGAAATCCCTCTATACATGTGGAAGTTTTACTCCGGACAAGCATTTTTCAATGACCTCTAAGTGTGACCTTGACCTTTGACCTAGAGACCTGGTTCATGTGCGCGACACTGCTCCTCATAGTGGTGAACATTTCTATGAAGTTTCATTAAAAATCCCTCCATACATGTAGGAGATATGCTCCGGACAAAAATTGGACGCCGCCCGCCCGCCCGCCCGACCGCCGCCCGCCCGACCGCCCGCCCGCCAGGGGCGTTCCCATAATACGTCCCGTTTTTCAAACGGGCGTATAAAAAGATGGTAAACAACTAAGGTAATGTTGCATACAGCTCCTTGAACATTTAATACAATGTTTGGAAATTCAAGTGGACCAGATTGTAGCACAGTAGGTCAAAACTTAACAAAGGCCTCTGACCATATCAACCAATGATCACAATAAAACTAGGCTTGCAGTTTCTGTAATGTTTATCATGCTGAATTGCCTTAAAGGACAAGTCTTGTTCAAATTGTCTTTGTCAAACTGATTTGAAATTAATTAAATCACAGTATACAGGCTGGTCAAATAGCATAAATGACTTGGTCAGTCCACTGGTGGCAATGGCTGTTTCAGCATTTCAAAGTCTTTTAAACATTTAAGTTATACAGACTCACAAATACTTTGTCATATGATGGCACATGACCATTACCCAAATGGGTCTTGAACCCATGACACCTGGGCATAGGAATAGCCCTGGGTTTTGGTATGGCTTTGATTAACTAGGCCTAAGTGGCGATTACTCATTTGCTAATCAGTTAATGAAAATGCACAGCACTCATTGGCTTAAATGATAATGCACTTCACTCATTGCTTAATAATAATGCACTGCTCATTAGTTAATGAAAATGCACTGCTCATTAGTTAATGAAAATGCACTGCTCAACAAAAAAATGAAAATGCCCTGCTCAACAGCTTATGATAATGCACTGCCCATTGGCTTATGATAATACACTGCTCTTACTGGCTAATGAAAACATGCACTGCTAATTTCCTAAGGAAAATGCACTGCTCCTTTTCTTAAGAAAATTCACAGCTCACTTGAGCTAAAAAATGCTCTGGAAGTAATTACCAGTGAAAACAAATTAAATAAAATATTATATATTTAATAATATAGGTAATATAATTACCTCCCTTTAAAAATCCATAAATTATACAATTACATATTTTACCTATAAAAATTACATGAAGGCTATATCAGTAAATAAAAAATTGTCATAAACATCTCAAAACATTCTATGTTAGGCTCATTATTGACAAAAATCTTCACTTTCACTAAATGTTCACACTTCGGTGATCAAAGACCAGATAACAATATATAATTTTCACTGAGCAAGCACACTTGGTTACCAAATTTTTCAATGTTCCCATCGTTATCTGGTTACACATGAGGAACATCATTCCTTTTGTAGTAAATCTTAATCAAGCATATCTTTAACTAAACATAAAAAATAAAATGTTACAGTGCAACCTATGTAAAGAATGCAGCAAAAACTTAAATGTTTTAAAGCTGCATGCCTCCAAATGAGCAAAACATATTTCAAGAAAATCAAACCTGAGAAAAATGTACTAAGATTTCAAGAAAACTATCGAGAATCAAGATTCAAGTAATAAGTAAGATTCAAGTGGACAACAACATTTGCCTTGACATTACTAAGCAAATGCTTTTTCTATAAAACTATTACATAACAAAGGAAAATAACCAATACTGAAAGACCACTTTTCATAAAGGGCACTACCTTTTTAAAACTACCAAATAACAATGAAAAATTATCCTTCTTGAAAGACCATCTATCCTTAAAGGCCACTCTTCTTTCACTGTCTCATAGCAATTGAAAATATTACACATTTTGTAAAGACCACCTGTCTATAAAGGGTATTTTTACCTGCAAGAATGGTTTCTGTATATATGGGATAAGTTAAAAAGTCTTAAAAAGTGTGTTAAATATCATCTTTAAGCCAATTGAGAGAGAAATGTGAATGATTCAACAAATGGGCATAATGTAAATATTTCCAAAATTTCCTTGTAACATCACATTAATTGGTTAATTTATGGTTAATTGCAACAGCTAGTTTTAACATAACTTATAGCATTAAATAATCTTTATATTACAGCATTACATTAAAGTAAAGCTTTTTATTGCAGATTTTTACATAGCACTGTTACAACCAACATAGCACTGCCTTATCATTTTATATTACAGCTTTCTGTTACAGCATAACATTTTAGTAAAATTTTCTGTAAATTACAGCCATTTTAAGAATGAATAATTATACTATACAACCCAAATCAAATTTTATTTTTTCATGTCTTAATATAGCTAAGAAAAACATGAAAATATTACAAATTTCTCAATTATGAGTCAGATACATTAATATATTCATTTTAAATTAGTTAATGCATCAATCCTTCTTGATGTTCATTTTTTGTTGTTTATTTATAAATAAAATTCAATGTTGTTTATTCTATATCAGCCACTTTTGAAGGTAATACAAAAGTGTATATCCAGGGATTGGTGCCAAATTACAGCAACTCATGTGATATAAAGAAGAATGTACAACTGTTTTGCAACGACCCCTCAATATTGGTGTCATTAAAAAAAAGTGTATCATTGAAAAGCAGTGAAGTTGTGGATCTTTCCTTGAATTTATGATGCATGATTTTAAAATGAATAACTTATCACAGCGCAAAGTGGTGAATTAGATCATAAATAAACAAGTAAAACATACAGTAACAAATTGCCTGTCTTAAAAGGGCTAAATAAGTGTCTTAACAAATATGCAAATTTTACAATTTTATTACAGGTATATATTAAATTTGGTAACAAACTGCATTCTTTACATCTCATTCTTTGCAAACGTTGAACATATTTTGAATTTTTTTTGTGTGGACAACTTTATTGAATGCAAAAGCATGCATTCTGCCTTCTTTAAACATACTTTGCATGAAATAAACTCTTTATTGTTTTTATCTCATCTTCCAAGTTCTTACCGAGGTGTTAAATTATGGTTTTCAAAGGTAAATACAGATCTGCCTTAAACGATACAATTTTTAAAATGCAGGTGGAAAAGTAATACTATAATTGTAAATAGAAGCTAATCTTACACTTAAATCAAAGAAAACATTTTGAAAAATTAGCTTGTCAGTTAAAAAAACTTGCTTTGAAATACACAAACATCTACAAACCTTTTAATTGCAAAGCTGTCACTTAATCCAATAGAAACATTCGTGTAAATTTCACTATTTTCATGTTACACGTCAAACCCTGGTGTGGTTAACACTTGGTCCAGTCATGTTAGTGGCCGTCGGGGCTTTTGTCTCGACATTTTTAAACTGTTTAAAGCACCAAATACACATAATTTTCTCATGTTTTATGACGTTGTAAAATCCATTTATCAACTGGTTCTTCACATTGATTATAATAACATTTTTACAACCCAGGACATACTTTTTGTTGCACGGATATATTATTTATACACATATCTAGTCCATCAACAATTTAAACACATTAAAAACTCTTAAGATAAAGTTAACAACGGCATTTTTTTTGCTTTGTACTTTTTAGGGTCTATATAGTCTAAATAGGTAAAATAACAATTCTACGACGGTTTTATTTTGAATTTGAATGCCAAGTCATTAGAGCATAAATATGTTTAAGTGTTGATTACAAACCGGGCTTTGATAGCTCTAGAGATTAAATTATGCTAGTTAGTGTAATAAATAACGTTGGGAGAATATAATCTTAAATAATATAGGGCTCTTTCTCAGGACAAGAGCTTTTAAAAGATCATCCATAGCAATATGAATCAGTATAATAACTAAAGCAATAAATTTAACACGTGTTGACATTAAGCTGTTTTATATTGTCATCAAGTTGTTTAGAATTTTGTATTTTTAGTATCATATGTCCATTCCATTATACTTCAAATTTATTGACTCCAAGATCTAATTATTGTGCTAGCAATCTATTTAAAAACGCCCATTAAACACAGACTGGTCCTATATGTTTAAATGATCAAAATGCAATTAAATTTACATTCTAGCCTAGATTTTCATATAACAAGGTTTTATTTACTTAACCTACATAACAAATAGGACAAATAAGGTAATCCTACTTATAGAAATTGTTCAATGGGAATAATTAATGCTGTAATGTTAACCTTTACCTTGGTGTAATAATGTAATGGACTTTTGGAATTGTCCATTATTAATAAGGAATAGTTAATACTGTTCTTGCTTTTATGTAATGATGAATTTAGGACAGTCCATTATTACTGAGGTGGTTTTAAATCACAATGTTTCATTTAAAGAAACATAATACCCCATAAAAATGCTAATATTTTTATTTCATAAAAAGTTATTATTTTGGGTGTTTCCAAAATGATACTCATTGGCCATTTAGATAAACCAGATTTGCTCTTCGGCAACTGGTACAGTTATAATGATATAAATAGTATTTTGTATGGAAGTCAAAATATCACTCATTTAAAATTTCCCTCATTTTGTGATACATTATTGTACATTCAGTGCTTCTTGTTCGCGTGATATGCATCTGATTGGTCCTTAAGGCCCTCACTGCGTTTGCATGGCGTCATTGAATTTAACAAAGGGCAGCAAGATCACAATTAAAACTGCGATATTTTTGATGACATGAAGACTTCAGGGCGTTTCCACTTTCTTTAGAAGCAAAATTGTATTCATTTTTTTAGGCTTAATGGGCCTTTAAGAAGCAGGGATGCGCAGACGGGCCAGCGTCCATACTGGCGACATAGGAAAATCGTTACTGCTATCAGAAATTTAAAGGTTAACAGCAGATTAACCCTAGATGGGACACACTGTCCAGCAGTTTTGTATCTTCTTCACATGATTTCTTTATGAATGGACAATGATTAATTACGCTGGACTAGATCATACCGGGTGGTCAAATTTTACTTCTTAATAATACCCTTATAAATAAATCTGTAAACATTAGGGGGAAGTATGTCAACAAATGAAGAAGTACCTTATTCAAAAGGGAATAATCATAACTTCATATACTGACAAGTGTAATAATAAATAGAATCTTACAGAATTTTGCTCTTCAACAAAACAAGGTTTGAAATTTTCTGCAGATGTTACATAATTCTAAATAACACCGAACCATACGAAAAATCGAAAAAAAGTGATGTCAAAATAACAATAGTTGACTGTGTAATTGTTGAATTTCACTTACGCCGATGCCAGGAGGAAATTGACAGAAGTTTACATTTACCACAGGCATCCATATACAGGCAAGTATGCATGAAAAGTCCAATTTTGCCGTATTGTTCCACATTTAACAATATCATTTTTATTATCTATGCATTATAAATCCTACTAGCTTACAGAAGGTCCGACATTCTCCCTGAGTTGATGTTTTTTATCTTTGATCTCAAAAATCCCATAAGCAACGTATTTTCACTCATTAAGCAAACCTTTTCCCTAAAAGTACAAGTCTGTACAGAATACATACGGATATTCATTCAATAATTTCATTTGAGTTTGTACAGAGATTCTAGCAAGGTACCTCCTGTGCCTGAAAAAATACACGAAGGGGCACCCAAGGTCTTCCTCCATCAGTAAAGCTGAAATTCAAAATATTACCTATACAGTTTCAGTATAACTTAAAATACTACAAAACAATGTAAAATTATTATAAATGGTAATCATAACAAGTTTTGTCTTTTATAGTACTTTTTAAATAATTTATTACATTTAACTTATGCAAATACATCAAGCATAAATGTAGGGATTTACAGTATCATAGCCTATCTGTAACAACATGAGGGGTGTATATTACTATGACTGTTTGATAACATAATATAAAACTAAGGTTAAAATAATGACTTAATATAACAGATAAATACTTAATAAGCTAAAGGTCAAAGGTCATGGAGTAACTTTAACAATACACTACATAAACAATGTCATGGCTGACCCTTAACCTGCTGAATTTGTGTAATGGATTTGCCCAGCTTTGAATTTGGAACAGTCCATTCAAATTTTAAGGGCTTTCAATATCAAAATATAAAAATTGAGCTATAAAACAGTACAGCACCTGGTAAGGCTCACAGAAATACAGGCTGGTCTGGCTCTATACTATGGTGGCAAAGGCTAACCACTTTCTATTTCAGCAAGCTAAGGTTTTACATTTTTGTAACATATAATGGTACATAGATAAACATGACATTTGGACACATTTAATTTCAAGAACTGAACACAAAATATTATCATTATGCAGACATCAAAATATTACTTCACATGAAAGTTTCCATGTATCAAATAGCCACAACAACAAAATAATTGAAATGAAATAGACATGGAAAATTATTTCTATGTGTCACATAACCAAAAGAATAAAAGTGAATTGAAATAGACATAGAATTTCCAAGCATTTTATCACATAGCCACAAAAATGAAATCGGACTGAAATAGACATAGAATTTCAATGTACTTTTATCACATAGCCACAAAAGTGACATTGAATTGAAATAGACATAGAACTTCTATTTGTCACATAACCAAAAGAATAAAACTGGCTCAAAATAGACATAGCATTTATTTTATCACATAGCCACAAAAATAAAAGTAGAATGAAATAGACATAGCATTTCCATATGAAACAAAGGCACAAGAAAAATTGAAACAATGTCAAATGACAATAATCAAAAACATAGCTTATGGTGAAAAAATAAATTATGAAATATAAAATGTGTTTATTTATATCGAAGGTAATAATCTCATTCAAAAAGAAAAGGAAACACATCAGCCACAAACTAACATGGGTTCACCTTAACAATATGACAAAAAATCTTACTTTTTTCAAAAAATTTGACACAGTTAATATTTTTATATATTACATAACTGAACCATGTAAACAAGCAAAAAAAGTAAGCACAAAAACTTAACTCTTACAGAACAAATCCAGGCTAGTCTGAATGACCAAGCCTGTATGACTAGTATAAATCCAGGCAAGCCTTATGACCAGTATAAATCCAGACCAGTATAAATCCAGACTAGTTTTGTGACCAGTATAAATCTAGACAAGCCTGTGTGACCAGTGTAAATCAAGACTAGTTTTGTGACCAGTATAAATCCAGACCAGTATAAATACAGGCTAGCCTGTATGACCAGTATAAATCCAGGCTAGCCTGTGTGACCAGTATGAAACTGGACTAGGACTAGCCTATATGACCAGTATAAATCCAGGCAAGCCTGTATGAACAGTATAAATCCAGACAAGCCTGTATGAACAGTATAAATCCAGGCAAGCCTGTATGAACAGTATAAATCCAGACTCGGCTCTATGACCGGTATAAATCCAGACAAGCCTGTATGAACAGTATAAATCCAGACAAGCCTGTATGAACAGTATAAATCCAGACAAGCCTGTATGAACAGTATAAATCCAGACAAGCCTGTATGAACAGTATAAATCCAGACAAGCCTGTATGAACAGTATAAATCCAGACAAGCCTGTATGAACAGTATAAATCCAGACAAGCCTGTATGACCAGTATAAATCCAGACAAGCCTGTATGAACAGTATAAATCCAGACAAGCTGTATGAACAGTATAAATCCAGACAAGCCTGTATGAACAGTATAAATCCAGACAAGCCTGTATGAACAGTATAAATCCAGACAAGCCTGTATGAACAGTATAAATCCAGACAAGCCTGTATGAACAGTATAAATCCAGACAAGCCTGTATGAACAGTATAAATCCAGACAAGCCTGTATGACCAGTATAAATCCAGACAAGCCTGTATGAACAGTATAAATCCAGACAAGCCTGTATGAACAGTATAAATCCAGGCAAGCCTGTATGAACAGTATAAATCCAGACAAGCCTGTATGAACAGTATAAATCCAGACAAGCCTGTATGAACAGTATAAATCCAGGCAAGCCTGTATGAACAGTATAAATCCAGACTTGGCTCTATGACCAGTATAAATCCAGGCAAACCTGTATGACTAGTATACAGGCTAGCCTGTGTGACCAGTATAAATCCAGACAGGTCTGTATGACTAGTATAAATCCATGAGAATATGTACCTCTGTGAAGTATTAGCAGGTTACATAATGCTAACTAAGGTATCTGCTATCTTTTATTACTCTGATATTGAACTCCCTTAATCTAATAATTGACAGATCCAAATCAAAAACTGGTTAAGTCCATCATACATATTTTAGCAATGTAAGGGCTAAGATCATCACTCAACAACAATATGTAAAATCTGGAATTCATGTTACAAAATAAATGATTGCCATTTCATAGGATTATCGTCAAAAAAATATAACAAAACAATATGACAAAGGTAAAAATTTAACAAACAACCTTGACTAGAATTATAATAATGCATTATGTAAAGCAAAATGATATAATATACTCACAACAGCTATTTATAACTCAACTACAGTGGATGAAGGGTCCGTTTTTGTTGTTGTTTTTTTTTCAAAAAAATAAAAGGCAGCTTATAATTATGTTAAAATCATTGCAGCCCTAGTGTAAGCTTTCCCTTTTTTATTATGTGCATACAGGAATGTTTACTTATTTCATATACATTAAAATGCCGGCTTCTGAAACAGACTATGTTTTTAAAATGACAAGAGAATAAAATCAGGGGAGACTTCATTTAACCTCGAAAATATATCGACCTTGAAAATAAGCTGTCCTCAAAAATAAGCCACCAATCTCCTACCAAAATTTAAAGTAAGCTGCAGCTTCTTATTGAAATTTTAGGGTATATCATGTAATATTGCACTCGACAGACATATCTGTTAGATATGGTATTAATGTGAAGCGAGTTCCAATATGCAATTAAGCTATAGACATAAATGAAATCATATTTTGAAAAACAACTACAATTTCTTACAACTTTAGTAAGATATCAATATATAAATGAATTCTAAAAATAGATAACATATGATCACTGCAATCTTTAAGCACACCATTCTATTTGTCCATTTTGAGATCCCTAATATGAGGTATCATAGTTAAATCAAAACAAACTCTGAGATTTCTACAATCTTGTTCCCTATTCTTACTACAGTGTAGTATATTTTGATTCCTGAATCTTGACATTTGACCTTCAAAGGTTACCTTGACCTTACTGATACAAACAAGTTCTTCATTTGTAAAATTAATCCCTGTTTTATTTCAAATCAAAAAAAGATTTGATGATCAAAGGTCCCTCCTTTTTTTCTTCAAGAGAGAAATATGAAAGGTGAAGGTCACTTTTTGCCATTTACTTGACCTTTGACCTTAATGAGTGACATTGTTCTGTCGTAATTTTTAACAGTAAAATGTTGTGACCAATAAACATGTATGTATGATTATGACATAAATATCTGAGCAAAAATAATAGTTAACTGGTTTCAGTAGCAGTATAAATCTATTATGTAAAAAAATAATTTTAATTTCTAAGCTTAAAAAAAGTTATAAAGGTGTATATCAAAACTCATGACATAGTTATTTTCTTTTGCCTTGAAATTTGAAGTTAAAATTTCAAAAATTCAAATTTAACACAACCGCAGAATTCTTTATGTAAAATATAAATTTCTCGTGTACACCTACCTTTATTTCATTTCTATTTAACAGTATGACGTGATGTAAAAATGCAACAGAACGACATTAATTCATCATCATCATCATGTGACAGGTGACACAAGCATCAGAAAACATGCTACATACCAAGCCTACAGTACAGTAAATATAAACAAAAGAACTGTAACACTGTTTAATTTGAATATTATAATGTACCAGAATTTTAATTTCAGGTTTAAATGCCTTTTTTTCTTATTTTTCTTACATGTATGAAATAACAAGAGCGATCAGTAATCACATGTGTCGCCTCATGATGGCCAATTTCATGTTGGGACAAATTTTGTGACAGGCGGACAGACAGACGGACAGTGCACAACTAGACTAACCACTTTGTACTGATCATTCCTGTAAAATTTGGATAAAATTGCACCAGTAGTTTATGAGGAGTAGTCCGGACAAGCTTTTGCGTATCTGGCAACACACAGAAAAAAACACCTTTTTAATCAAAGGGCCATAACTCGGCCAAAAATCATTCAACCGGAAAACCCGTGCAATATGCGCAAGGACTTGAGCTACAGATCAATCCTGTAAAGTTTCATTGAAATTGCATAAGTGGTATAAGAGAAGTAGTCCGGACAAACTTTAAAAATAAAAATTATTAAAGGGCCATAACTCAAACAAGAATCATTGAACCGGAAAATGCTGACAATATGCACAACTAGACTTGGTACTGATCATTCCTGTAAAGTTTGGATGAAATTGCACCAGTAGTTTATGAGGAGTAGTCCGGACAAGCTTTTGTGTATCTGGCAACACACAGAAAAAGAAACCTTTTTATCAAAGGGCCATAACTCGGCCAAAAATCATTCAACCGGAAAACCCGTGCAATATGCGCAAGGACTTGAGCTACAGATCAATCCTGTAAAGTTTCATTGAAATTGCATTAGTGGTATAAGAGAAGTAGTCCGGACAAACTTTAAAATTAAAAATTATTAAAGGGCCATAACTCTGACAAAAATCATTGAACCGGAAAATCCTGACAATATGCACTACTAGACTTGATACTGATCATTCCTGTAAAGTTTGGATGAAATTGCACCAGTAGTTAATGAGGAGTAGTCCGGACAAGTTTTGTGACGGACGGACGGACAGACAGACGGACAGACAGACGACGGAGAAGTGATCCCTATATGTCGCCACTACTCCGTAGAGGCGACACAAAAAAATGCACATCACACATGTTCATATAATTATATGGACCCATGCAGTACACCCTTCCACTTTATGTCTAAAACTATCACTGGACATTTGTCCCCACCCACGCCCACACTGTTAAGTTGGACATTTTTCCCCCTTTCCCTCCGATGAAATGCAAAAGTGGACATATGCCCCTTAGATGAATTGTTAAGATGGACCAAAAGTATATAATGCCGAAATAAGCTCTTTTATTCTTTAAATGCCCTGAAAATAATGTCTGGAATGGACTTTACTGAAATATTTTATACAACATCTAATTCTTCATTTAATGTAACTTATGTTACATAATTAACTTAACAAGCATTACAAAATGAAGCTGCAGTTTTATCCACCCACATACTTAAATGAGTCATCAAAATAAATCGTAATGAAAGTGTGTTTGTTTTGCTTGTTTTTACGGCACACCAACACAATTTAGTATCAAAACAGCGAGATAGCAATATTTTATATTTAAAACTAACATGGAAATAAAAGTTTAAATTTCTGCTGTTTTTACTAATTATAAATGATAATTTATCAAGAAAGTCACAAATAAAATCCATATGTTTACATATTGGTTCCTAGTAGCACAGTTTTAAATTTTCTTGTTTTCAATGCCAAGATAGTTACACTTGTGTTGTACCATCACCATTATGTGTATATCAACTTATTTCTTACAAAATCTGCATGCCTGTAAACGTAATTTTTCTCTTCATTATGTGCAGAGGCAAAACTTGATTTGTTTGGCCTAACACTTGTTTAGTTTCACAGGTCTTTTTATAGTTTATATCTTAAATGAATCAAAAACAACTGATGAAGTTTCTTCAGACACTGTTGACAATCTTTTTCTCAATGGCTCCTTCATAACAAACTCCCTGCCGTCTGCTTGCAGACTAGTCACATGATCTCTATCTTCCCATGATCCTCCAGGTGAACAAGGGACATCACTCTCATCAGAAGAAGGGGAACTACTCAGGCAATCTTCTGACCAGTCAAACTGTATCATCTGAAAATGGTAAACTAAATTATGTTACAACAATTACTTATAACTCTCACTTCCTGTACATATAAAACAATGTTTTGTTGAAATGCTTAAAGAAAGAAGATCCTGTAAGAACAAAATTTAAGTTTTCCCTTCTCATAAAATGGAATAATGCTGAAACACTGGTAAATTCTATAATAGTTGTTTTTTAACAAATATACCATCACATAATTTTTACATTTTGTTTGTTTGTTTGTTTTGGGTTTTACGTCACATCGATTCAGTATAGGTCATATCGCGACGTTCCAGCTTTACTGGTGGAGGAAGAACTCAGGTGCCCCTCTGTGCATTATTTCAGGCACAAACGGGCACCTGAGTAGAACCACCGACGTTCCGTGAGCTAGCTGGAAAGCTCCTCACATGAAAGAACCCAAAGTACCTGTCGGGATTCGAACCCACAGCGGTGAGGGGCAAGGGGTTTAGAGTCAACAACCTTAACCACTAGGCCACAGACGCCCCCTAATTTTTAGTTGGGGGCCGTAAGCTGACATAATTTCTGTTGCAACAACCATTGACCTACACATTATCAAGAATAATGTACATATGCCAATCCTTTTTTTTACAGTTTAAGTTTTTCCGCCACACAAACACAACAGGGTTCATATTGAGGCTTTCCTGCTTTACTAGTGTAGGAAGACCTCTGGTGCCTTTCTGTTAAATATTTCAGGCATGAATGAACACCCAAGTAGAATCACAGACTAATCATAAGCTAGCTGCATAGCTTCCTCATATGAAAGAATCCAAAGTTCTGGGCAGGATTCAAACCCACAGCAGTGAGGGGCAAGTGGTTTAGAGTCAGAAATCTTTAGCACTAATATGCCAATACAATATTGATAATAATGTACATATGCCAATATAATATCAATAATATTGTACATGCTAACCTTGCCTATGAATCTGCTGTAGAGCCGGTTATATTGAATTGATATCTTTGAAAATTCATAGTTATCATGCATAATTACCGTAAAATTCCTAATAAACGCCCCTCCCCTAATATGAAAAAAAATCTGCTCATCAGTGGTGAACTCTTTAATAAATCCATAATTTTATTCAAATCCTTCAGAATCCATTTTATTTCATAGTAAACACAAAAATGTATCACATGAACATTAAAATCTTAACACATTTTAATGTTATTACCAACACTTGTTAACACTAAATGTATTTTCAATGATTTTTGGATTTAGGAAAAAACGTGTTGTAATAATAGCCCCCCTTTTGGAAAATGTTTAGCCCCCGGGGGGCGTTTAATAGGAATTTTACGGTATGTTAACCTGAAATTGTGAATATCTTATTTCACTCAGCAACATTTTCAATTTTGGATAATGATGATGCAAATTCATAAATACAGAATGAAAAAAAAACAACACTTTTTTATTTACATTAACAAAACAACAACAACACAAATTAAAAGCAGTATCCTGAGAAATTCACTTGTCTTTGTGTACTACATCTATCTCCCTTCAGCAAAGGATATAAAATTTTAATATTTTGATTATCTCATGCTCATAGACAGAAGTTAGTGTTTTTTGATATCAAAGTACACAACATGTACACAATACCAGGTTTCAGTACAACACTGTTGAAACATGGCCAACAGATTCTACCCGCACAACCTAGATCAGTCAGCACGATTAGCCATGTCGGCTGAGTCATACTGTCTGATTGCGGTCCACACTGTTCGCTAAAAGTAGTTAAAATTTAGAAATTACCCTAAAAATGATGAATGGTTTTGTACAAATTAAAATCCCTTATATTTCTATTGGACTATTCCAAATTCAAATGTGGGCAAGTCCATTTCTCAAAATCAGTCAAAAAAGGGGGTAAAACTTGATGAGCATGGAAAATGTTGTATTAAAAACTTCAAAACATGCTAAGAAATATAACTTTGAAAAACACATACCTTCACCATTATGTGTTGAAGAATCCACCTCCTAGAAATGTTAAAATAAAAATATCTGCATTCCAAGAAAACAAACAAACATATAAAACAAAAAATATGGTAAGGAAAAAAACCCATCCACCATTTTGTAATAAAGTAGTTAACAAATAAAATAGATAAGAGATATGGTCAAGAAAAAAATCTTGAAAGTTACAAAGGAGAAAAAGTATCAGGACACTTGTCAAAGATTTAATGTTAGACTCTATATCATTAAATACTTCATACTCAAGTTAGACAACTCTTAATGTCATATTCCAGCATTTATTTAACTAATTGTCTCCCTTGAAAGCTTTGTCCTAAGTCAAATAACAAGATCACATTTTAATTTCTAAATTACTTTTTTGTATAGTTATTTTCTTATAATTTTCCTAATATTTGTTAATTTTTTTTCATTATTTAAAGTCACTTTAACATTGTAACGGTCGGTCATATAGGGGCTTTCCAGCTTTATTAGAGAATATATATCAACCTGTTTAAACCAGTTTCAAGAAGCAGACAAGAGTGTAATAAATACAAGTTGCAAGAACTTGTTTTCAAAATTAAGCTTAATAAAAAGGTTTAAATTCAATCAATTTCTAAATTATTCTAATGGAATTTAATCTTCAACCTCAAATCAATAACATTGATGTATGCTATTCAAAATGTCTTTAAAAAAATACTTAGAGGAGTAGAAAGAATATCATAAAGAAAGGCTTTAAGTGCACAGACTTTCCAATAAAAGACCATAATGCTAACAATCTTAAAAGTAAACATTATTGTAAACTTAACTACTAAATAACCCTCAACATGTAACCATTCCATTTCCAAACATAATTATATATTCACAATTAAAAAGTAACCCAAAATCACCAATTTTCCAAAAAGTGGCATGTATTGCAATACAAGTTGTAAATATTTTCAACTTAGTGCAATAACAGGTTAACTTCTATTTAAATTTTAGAAAAAGTTAACCCATATCTGCACTAAGGTGACAATATAACAAAGTGTTTGTAAGTAAAGTACATTACATCAACTATATGATCATACCTGAACAAAATCCCTTCGTTTAATGACGATATCCACAGTTCCTGCCTGGAGATTCCGGAATAACTGATAGGCGTCGAGTAACGTCATATTGGTCATCCGTCGTCCATTAACCTCCATTATCATGTCACCTTTCCTGTAATACATGAAAATATCGCCTTAACTAAATATCCCAAATTTCAACATGTATCCTACCTAATACTTGCAATGAATTTGTCCTGCTTTGGTTTTTGGAACTGTTCATTTCAAATCTTGGGGATTTCAAGAATCAAAATCAAATTTGAAGACAAGCCTAGTCATATCATACTGGCTCTTGAAAAAAAGAAAAAAGAAAATTATTTACTCTTGAAAAAAAAGAAGATATTTACTCTTGGAAAAAATATTTACTCTTAGAAAAAAGAAAAATATTATTTTCTCTTGAAAAAAAGAAAAAGAAAATATCATTTACTCTAAAAAACACAAATTACAATTTGAAACAATAAGATTTGCCCTTGAAAAATCTATCTATTCAAAGAGCACTGTCCTAGACAGACCATAAATTACCCTCGGAAAAAGCATGATACATATCTATAAACTACAAATGGAGAGATCAGCATCAAGAAATCATAATTCTTGCTAATACACACGAGACACAGCCTACAGATATTTGTTTTTGAAGAATTACCAGTATCTTTATTTCTGCATCAAAACTAGACAAACATCCGCAAAAAAAACCAAACCCCAAAACAACAATATGAATAACAGATTCTATCTCACTGAAATATTCAATATTTAAAAGATAAGAGGTCGAAAACAAATTTAAAGGCCCATTATGCCTCAGAAATGCTATCATTTTTATTTCTCAAAAACTGTTTTTTTGTTTTGTTTTTTATCTAGTTATTGTTTCCATAAACATACTTATATGCCATATGCATAGATATGTTGGCAATTGGTATATTTGTAGTGAATTATTATGAAAGTCAAAATACTACTTTGTTTACATTTTGGTACCTTTACAACACATAACTGCATGTTCAGTGCTACTTTTTTTCCAGTTGTAAGACATCTAACATGCACTTAATCCATCATTTAACCATTATTACACACATGTTTAATATTTTGAAAGAATAATATATATATGGATTTCTGAGGCATAATGTGCCTTTAACTTTTGATATTTGATAGATGCTCTTTTATAGACACTCTTTTATAGGGTTTTAGTTCTTATATATTCCATAAAGCATTAATTCTCAGACATTTGCTATTAAATCCTGGAACACTCGCAGCAATAATAACTTGCCAAAGTCACCTTTTTCCAAGGTCAAGACCATGCTCTTTACTGTTGGAGGCTACATTGAAGTATTTCAACATTAAAATCAGTCAAATCAATGAGAAACTTCCAGAAAACAAGTTAACCTATTAAATTTTATGCAGTATTAGTGGAGTGGTGACCCAGCATAACATTTGGACTAACCTAAATTCACATCTGTTGAACATGAATATATAATATTCTTAATGCTAAATGGAATTTCTTAATACTAAATTGATTTTTCTTAACAGATTTTCTTAAACTAAAATGTATTTTCTTAATACAAAAATGATTTTTAATACTAAATGAGTTTTCTTAACAGATTTTCTTAATACTAAATGTATTTTTTTTAATACAAAACGATTTTTAATACTAAATGTATTTTCTTAATGGATTTTCTTTATACCGATTGGATTTTCTTAATACTAAATAAATTTTCTTTAGAAAAAGTGCAAAAGAAAAATAATATCTATCTCATCATCACAACATACCTCAGTCTGCCATCTTTATGTGCAGGTGAACCATGTGCTATGTCTTGTACAAGTATTTCACTATCACCATTATATGTTTTCCTGATCACAGATATACCAAGTCCAACACCACAATCTGTAAACAAAGAAAGTCAGTTTTTAAAAAGAACCACCAACGTTCTGTAAGCAAACATGAAGAATCAGATGATGCTTAGCTAGTGTCACTCGAACATTCATCTGTTAGAAGCAAGTGGTTTGAACCACTTGGCCACAGATGGCCCCTAAATCAGTAGATTATCATTGTATTCATCATCATTATTACAATGATTATTATCATCATCATCATTGTTATTATTATTATTATCATCATTATTATTATCATTATCAACCACATTTTATATAGTACCCTTTTGAACTTTAAATTAAATGTATATCTATAACTGTGCTTTACAAACTAGAGACATCAACCAGCCTTGTTAAATATCATAAAATCTGCGGAATATAGAACATGGATCTAATTTTATACCACAACATTTTATTATGCCACTTTAACTAAATTTAATCATGTACCTAGATATTAAATGGAACTACCATACACTATAAACCTACAGACAGGCTATACAGAACCTGGTCTCATGAGGTTTATTGACATTATCATGGAATGTCAAACTTCTTTCCTTTAATCCAGGATTTAGTACAAACAGCTCTTATAGAACAATATCATTCAAAACTAAATGCAGTAGTTCAAACTCATTAATTATAAGCTTTATAAAGCAAAAATGAGCCGCGCCACGACAAAACCAACATAATGGGTTTGCGACCAGCATTCGCTTACAATCCCTATTACAAGTAGAGAAACTGATAGCGAACAGCATGGATCCTGATCCGACTGCGCGGATGCGCAGGCTGGTCTGGATCCATGCTGGTCGCAAACCCATTATGTTGGTTTTGTCGTGGCACGGCTCAAATATCTTTCCACTGTTATTCTCTTTCTTGTCTGTTTCCTGGATTCAACCAGTGCTCGTGTCATATATTTGTATTTTTTTCTTTAACCTTATTGATTTTATGCTGAATTTAACATATTTTTGGTCATATCTAAGCTGTCGATCCATTTACTGCTTTCCTCTATAACTAACCAGTAAAAACCGATTTTCCCTGCAAGTGACCTACTACCAATCCCAAATGATTTGAACCGCATTACAACAAAACCAACATAATGGCTTTGCGACCAGCATGGATCCAGACCAGCCTGCGCATCCGCGCAGTCTGATCAGGATCCATGCTATTCGCTTACAAACCCTATAACAAGTAGAGAAACTGATAGGGAACAGCATGGATCCTGATCAGACTGAGGATGCGCAGGCTGGTCTGGATCCATGCTGGTCGCAAACGCATTATGTTGGTTTTGTCATGACGCGGCTCAAATGACCATGAGACTCAATGTCCAAGATCAATTGTCATAGATAAATTAAGCCTGGCCTGAGGATCGAACCACCTTCCTCTTGATTACTTATCTATTGAGCTATTAAGCCGGCAGATTCATATTTGAAAACATCTTTATGACCCAACCTGGGGTCAAACCTAAAACCACTGAGTTAACAAGCAGGCTTCATAACCACTCTGCCACTCCATTTCTTCCCTTATGTTTTGTATGCTCTTAATAAACATTTTTTTCATTTATTTTTTTAAGTTTTTAAGTCAGATAAACAATTGCATTTGTACCCACTTACCTTTTAAAAGCTGAATCTCATGTTGAACATTTGGTTTATTGTCGGGACTCAGACGTTCCACGAGTGATGTGTTACCAGAAGACATTTTGTGACGAGGTATATTCACTGGTACGGAAAAAGTCGGTCTGTGCTCTCCATTGTGGAGGTCTGGTTGGTGGTCTGTTGCCATGGAGATGGCTTCGAGTTCATGAAGGTCAGTCATACTGTTGTGTGGCGAGTGACCTGGCGTTGACACTGGGCTCCCGTCACATGATGTAGATGTTGTGAGGTAGGACGCTCTGCCTGGGCTTTTAAAGTGACAGAAATTACATTTAAATTGACAGAAATTACATTTAAATTGACAGAAATTACATTTAAAAAAGAAATTACATTTAAATTGACAGAAATTACTTTTAAAATGACAAAAACTATAAAGCATCATCCTATTTACCATGCTAACCATTTGAAATTATGAAATAATGTGCATCAATTCAACTGTTTTTCAGAAATGAAACAGAATACGTCTGAAAATTTCTGTCTAGAAATTGCATTTCAATACAATTCTCCTACAATATTGATGATGCACTTTCCTGACTCCTGCTATTATAATCTTGCAGACTGTATTTTATTTTTCTTACTTCTTTTGTAACTTTGTTGCTAAATTTCAATTTTACTTGCCATTTTTAATTGAGGTGTGTGTGTATATCCATAAAGTGTATACCTGCAATGCGGAGACCTCAATCTCTTACGGAATGTTATTTTCACTGGTCCTTTCTTCAGCTGACGGAACTTCCGTATAACTTCTTTATGAGTAAGGTTGGCTAGTGTTTCATCATTCAGTTCAACTATTTCATCTCCTGAAAAATTTACAGATAAATAATTTTTAAAATAAAAATAAAACAAGAGGGCCATGATGGCCCTGAAGTCGCTCACCTGTATTTAGGCCCCCAGGAGCGGGCCAGTTTAAACCCCAGGGCTTTTATTTGAACAAACTTGGTAGACACCAATTAGAAAATGTTTCATGCTAAAACATCTAAGGTCTAGCTCGTTGGGTTCTTTTAAAAGAAGATTTTTAAGTTTTTTCTTTACACATATAGTTAAAACAATGACACTCCTGGGGCAGGGCCAGTTTTGACCCCAGGGTTTTTATTTGAACAATCTTTGTAGATACTTACTAGAAAATGTTTCATTCTTAATATCTAAACTCTAGCTATTCGGGTTTTTTCAAAAAAGATTTTTAAGTTTTTGCTATACACTTATAAGGAAAATGAATGACCCCCGGGCTTTTATTTGAACGAACTTTGTAGACACTCACTAGAGGATGTTTCATGCTAAGTATCTAAACTCTAGCTATTTGGTTTTTTTCAAAGAAGATTTTTTTGGTTTTTGCTATACACATATAAGGAAAATCAATGACCCCTGGGGCGGGGCCAATTTTGACCCAAGGGCTCTTATTTGAACAAACTTGGTAGACATCCATTAGAACATGTTTCATATCTTAGCTCTAGCTCTTTGGGTTCTTTAAAAGAAGATTTTTTAAGTTTTTACTATATGCATATAGGGAAAATCAATGACCCCCTGGGGCGGGCCAATTTTGACCCCAGGGCTTTTATTTGAACAAACTTGGTAGACACCCATTAGAAGATGTTTCATGCTAAATATCTTAGCTCTAGCTCTTTGGGTTCTTTCAAAGAAGATTTTTTTTTTAAAGTTTTTACTATATGCATATAGGGAAAATCTATGATCCCCTGGGGTGGTGCCAATTTTGACCCCAGGGCTTTTATTTGAACAAACTTGGTAGACACTCACTAGAAGATGTTTCATGCCAAATATCTAAGCTCTAGCTCTTTGGGTTTTTTAGAAGACGATATTTAAAGTTTATTCTTTTGGTTGCCATGGCAACCAGAGTTCTGCATGGAATTAAATTCTTTGAACACTTTTCAAAGGTGACCACCAAAGGAACATTACTGTGAAGTTTGGATTAAATTGGCTTAGTGGTTTATGCGGAGATGTCATTTAAAGTAAAACTTTACGGACGACGGACGGACGACGGACGAAAGCGATCACAAAAGCTCACCCTGTCACTTTGTGACAGGTGAGCTAAAAACCCAACAAAACAACTATATTTGGATGATTATTAATATAAGTTTATTATATACTACATATGGGAGCATGGGTGACCAAATTATTATGGTTGTTGGCTTAGAACCACTAAGTCTTGCCCCTAGTCAAATGTGAGGCGCTAGCTAAGGTGTCCTGAAATAATGCACAGAGGCTCCTGTGTCAGCATTTTGTCACCTCAGTGCAGTAATGGTTAAACTTCTTATATAATTTAATAGGAGTTAACTTGGTGGTACACTGTCATAAGATAATAAACTTACAAAATGACCCATGTTACTCTATTTCACAATTAAATTTGCTTTTTAAAACCATAAAAGTGCTGAATTTGTGTAATGGACTGGTGCTTTTTTTAATCTGGAAGTATCCATTTTGCTGTTTAAGGGATTTTTATTTAAAATATTAAACCCCAGCAGCTAAGGGTATAGAGACTTCATGGAATTTCAACTGAAAATATAGATAGCAAAGGTCCTCAAAATGATTCATCTTTAATAGCAAACACCAACAGGAGCTTCCGTACCAATAGGGCTGTCTTTGTAAATGAAGTCAATTCCACCCTAAATGAACCCAAAGGAGATAATGTGAAAAGACAGAATTTAAAATCAAATCTTCACACATTAACTGCAACATTTCCCATTAACACCAAGTCTATTTGTTGTTTTTTCTTCCTAATTAAAAGGGTAAAAATCATGTTGGGCTGTCAGTTATCTCCACAGTATATTATTTTGTACTTTGATAAAAATCAGACCAAAGTATGTAAATTGGAAAAAAGATGTTGTAGAATGGGGACAGTATGGTGTGAGGAGTGTGGAACAAGAGGATTTAATCAATAAGCATAATGTTGGAATTTGTTTTCCTTATCCTGCACAAGTGATTTGTATATGTATCTCATTATTGCACATTGTTTAAACCTAAAGGAAATGTTTTTATACTCAAAAAATCTGAGACTGGTTTCATTCCAAAGTCTTTTTTATGTACAAAAGCAGAAAATTTGCATGCAAAATTGAAGACCACAGAAGAATAAAATATTATTGCAAATGGAATCGGGTATCCAATTTCATAAAACAACAATACTGCAAGATAAACAAAAACATTCCTCCATAAATAACAATTATTAAAGATACAGAAAATAACTACAGAAATAAGTGGGTGGACATAACAACAGTAAAGGTTTTCATTTGGGAAATAATTGTTTGTTCTAAAATTTTGTCTGTACAACAATTATACAATCTTTACACAGCATTGCAGTGTTTATAACGCTCGTCTATTACGGGGAACAACTATCAATAACCAGTTTTCTTAAATATTCCAAATTAATAAGGTACATTACCCCTAAAATTATTGCTTTCAGGATGATTCCCAATGGTTTACCCTATGTTCATGACAAACTTTCTTTGATTCCCAAAAAATCAATATTCTATGACATACCTTCTTTAATTCTTCCATCTTCTGCTATCAGTCCAGTCGAGAAAATACGTCTCACGATGATACCAAGGTGACCTATAGCTGTATCACACCCTCCAACGATTGTGAACCCAAGACCTTTACCATTTAAACCTTTGTGAACTGTGATGGTAACAGGAACTGCTTGCGACGGAGACGGGCTACGATTGGTCCTTTTTCTGTACTTGTTGACAGGTGATGGGGCAATAGGGGGCTTATCTTCGGAAGCTGTCCTACTGAATTTCTGGAAAGAGAAATGTTTGCTTATTTATTTTTTTTATTTAACGCATTCTTCCCATTACTCTAAGCACCTTAAATTCTATTAGCCAAACAAACGTCATTCTCAGCACATAAGGGGAACAATGAATAACATCAAAGTGGAATTTAACCATTATCTATTGTAATTGTTCTCAAAATCACTTCAGTTTTCAAACAGTCAGACAGGAACCTACCCCTGCCCCCACACACACTCCCAGAACTTTTTTATCAATGCACAAACATTCGAAAAATTGCCGTCATTAAGAACTGCGGCTGGTTGCTATGCAAGTTTCTTTACATTTACCTAGCTTCACAGTCTCCATCGTAAAACAATCAATTTTCAAATGACAGGAATGTTGCATTACTGATAGATATATCATAACTGTGTCTGTAAAACCATTCTTTCCTCTATGCACGAGTATGACAAATTACAAAATTGATGGTAAGTTTACATTTCCACTTCCCCAGCAGAAGATAATAACATATGAGCCGTGTCATGACAAAACCAACATAATGGGTTTGCGACCAGCATGGATCCAGACCAGCCTACGCATCCATGCTGTTCGCTTACAAACCGTATAACAAGTAGAGAAACTGACAGCGAACAGCATGGATCCTGATCAGACTGCGCGGATCTGGTCTGGATCTATGCTGGTCGCAAACCCATTAAGTTGGTTTTGTCATGACACGGCTCGTATCTCCCCCCCTGCCTTGGTACTATATATTAAAATCTCTAATGATTGATTAGTGTAAAGGGAAACAATCAATCAGCAATTTCTGTCGAGGAAAAAACAACAAACCAGACATCTGCATGTCTTTCAATCACACCCGAAATTTGTTTTCCAGACCTAGTCTGATGAATGGCCGTCTGCTAATTCAACTTAATCATTCGAAACTTCTGAATTTTCTAAATTTAACCCATAACCTGCTGAATTTGCGTAATGGATTTGCCCTGCTTTGAATTTGGAACAGTCCATTCAAAGTATTAGGGATTTCAATATCAATCACTTACAGTATTGAGCCTGGTCAGACTGCATGGATGTGCAGGCTGGCCTGGCTCTATACTGGTGGCAATCAGTTTTAACATATTGTGTCTCAGAAAGGATCAAAATTTTCAAATACAATTTCTAATATATTAGAGATTTATAATATTTAAATAATGGTTTTAGAGCATGTTAAACGCTTAAGAACTGAAGAAAGTAGCCCTGAATGTGAAACTATTTGTCACAAAAGTAGCAAAATATAAACTACTTTTGTCATAAAAGTAGCAAAATATAAACAAAGTATTTATTTGATTTCCATTGATTTCCATACAAAATATCGAAGCACAATAACTGATTTTATTGCTAAAGAGCAAAAACAGGCATTTAAGAAGGTTCCAGAATTGGCCAATTAGTAATTTTTCAAACAATAACACGACATCAGCAAAATAAAAAAACTTTTCAGAAGTAAAAATAAAAGCATTTCTGGGCCTTTAATCTTGAAAAAGTGAAGCATTATTCAGCATGAAAACAAAAAAACTATGCTATGGAGACAAGAAAACTATGCTATGGAGACAAGAATCTTGCAAAAGGTCAGACGTAATAATTGGTATTTCATCGGTGTAATAATGTACTTGATGACCTTTGGAAAATCAACATCACAACTAAATAGATCTATCAACACTTCTACAATGTTATGATTATATGTTGCAGAATGGATTGAGACTCAGTTATGTAACATCTACAAAAAATATTTGTTTGCTGCTTGTTTATTTTGTTTTTATTTTGATGTTGGGAACCTGCTCAGATTACAACCAATTCTACCAATGCAGCAACCTGTGCAGACAAAGTTCTGCTGGCACATCTGGGCCCACGGGATGTGCGCTTTTATCATGGTCTGCACTGTTCTGTACATACATAGTTTAAAACTTTCCCCTAAAATTGATAAATCAAATTTCATGTGGACTGAAAGATGGACAAGTCCATTTAGCCTGGAAGGGGTTAAATCACATCAGTACAAATGTGGTGGCCAGGTCCATTACACATATTAAGCAAGCAGCCACAGGTGAACGTCGCATGGCCATGACTTACACTATACCCCCCCTTCCCCCTCTACAACCCAAAACCCTTAAACATCATCCAAACGTCATAAGTATTGACAAAAATAAATTTTATGAAAAAATTTTTTTTATGCAAGCAGCAGGCTAAGGGTTGGAAAAAAAAACTTCTGACACTTTTATTTCAAGCAACAGAAGATGTCAAACTGAATTAGATTCTATTAAAAATTGTATACTTTTTTTATTATAAAACACAAAAATTGAACTACCAGCAGTATAGAAAACAGATATGACAGCATGACTTTAAAGTAAATTGCTTTTTTAATTTTTCATGATTTTAAATCTGATTTTAATGAACAATTACTAGTTTTAAAGGCACAGCAAGGCAATGTGAGGTGAAGTTTAAATACTAGTAAGGATCTAAAGTAAATTGCTGTTTTTTTTAAAAAGTTATCTGATTTTAATGAACAATTTCCAGTTTTAATGCACAGCAAGGCAATTTGAGGTGAAGGTTAAATTCTACAATATGACATTTCCATCCCACTCTTTTAACTTTCATGGTATGAAAAATTCCATCAACAGTAATAGCTGAAATTAGTTTGACATTTTGATGAAAGTATAATAGCCAAGAATCAATTAATTTCTGAAAAATAAAAAGGATATGAAAACATGAAAAATGTGCCCTCACAATAGGCTAGTAGGTAATTACAAATAATTAAAGGCCCATTATGCCCCATAAAATGCTTTTATTCTTATTTTCTCAACATTTTTATTTTATTTTTGATGTACAGTCGAGACTGCCTAAGCGACCCCCTGATTTAAACGACTCCCTGTCTTATCCGACCTTGTTTCAGTACTCCCAACATATTTTCCTATATAAATGGTCTGAATTAAACGACTCCCTGTCATATGTGACAAGCGACCCTAATTGTCTGGTCCCAATGCAATGTTTTGTCTGATTTAAACGACTTTCACACCTTTTAATTGTCCGTTAATCAGATAAATATTACCTATTATAACACCCAGAGGGCCAAAATAATTAAGTCCACTGTAGCAAACAAAGTCTACACACCTCTATCTCAATTACACAGTTAGCATGTAGATACATGCAGGTACCAAGTGACGTAGCGTCGGTTCGTGGGAAGCATGATGCAATCGACGTGTGTGTAATGTACTACCTGAGTAAACTGGGTTAAGACTTGTGTTAGATTTTTTTTTTAATAATAGAGTGCCCACGAAGATTTTTTAGGCAGCATTTTTTTAATTTACCTTTCTATGGCTGCATAATTAATACGGAAAAAATATTGATACCAAACCAGAAAAAGCTTTGGATATGGATATGTTTACAGTAAAGATCCTGTAACACAATTTTTTCATGGTTTTATTTCATAAATATGATGCTCAAATTAAGATTTGTCAATATTGTAAGTTCAAATAAGCATAATTTAGAAAGATATCACCCAATTTAACATTTCATGTAAATAAAGGCCATTAAAGGGAGGTAATTAGAACTTTATTTTCTATAAATTTTAAGACAATTGCAATATGTAATCAATGCATGTAATTTATTGATTAAATATAATGTGCACAAATATTTGCAATAAACATTTTACATATTCTTTGATGTTTGAAAATGGTTTTATTTGCATAATTATATCCATATATATTTTTTGCAAGACACGTGATCACAGTAACTTCTCACTTCCCCTCGGAGCGTGCACGTCGCTGAGAAGGCACAGGGCATCGGCAGAAGATTTACAACTTGGCTGGTAGACAACTTAAATTTTGCCTTCAACCGTGGGCGGTAACTACGGAACTCCTACTTCGTCACTTCTGCGGACCAGCTGCCGATGTCCTGACTAAAGCAGAGGGGAATGGCCCTACAAAGTAGGCAGAATCGACGAGGATGGTGTACTAGGGTGCGTGAGCCCCTAGTACGAATGACGGCTTGTAAGGTAGGCCTATAGCTGGCACCAACAGCCCTTTTCAGGGCTAAACACCTTTCCTATTGTCACAGGTTACTGTACATTTAGGTTCTCATTGACCGCCGTACAGTGACCTACTTTTCGGCTCAAAATTCATATCTTTGGCTAATACTCCGTGGAAATTGCATGGATGTAAATTATCACCATTTTGTGCTTCAAAATTAACTCTTTAAGGACATGACTGGTGACATGTCCGGGGTCCGTACTCGACAGCGCAAGCTGCATTTTGTGCCCGAAAGGGCGGATGGACCCTCATTAAGCTTTAACTACATACATACATGAACACAGTAACAATATCAATCACAAAACATACTGGTTCTTTAAGTCACATTGGTATATAGACAGATAGATGATATTGAGACTGTATTAAGAGACTCCCTGTCATATGCGACCTTTATCTGAAGATCCCTTGGAAAGTCACATATGACAGTCTCGACTGTACTTATATAGCTCCCAAAAAGTTTACACATCTTTTTCTTCTGTTACTTTTTTGGCACATTAGTGCAGTTATAGTAATTTATTAATTTGTATGGAAGTCAAAATACTACTTCGTTTACATTTTGCTACTTTTATAACAAATAATTTCACATTCAGTGCTATTTTTTTCTGTTGACAGGCATATAACATGCTCTAAAACCATCATCTTATTAAAGCATTATAAAACTCATGTTTGCCCTTTCTAAAGAAGATAAAAATGTTACTTAGGCACAATGTGCCTTTAACAGAATGTATTTTGTAAAATTATGAAAATTATTTACGCATTTATTTAATATTTTGGTTGCAGGCAATTAAGCAAGTTGTGACCTTTTCTGAAACCTACTTATTTATATTTGTTGAGCTCTTTTAGCCATTATTAGCTTTAAATCATTTTTATAAGACACATTTGATGTTTTTTCATATTTTTTTTTAAGCTTTGAACTGTATTTATCTTTCAATACATGTTTCTTATGACACAGGCATTGTATTTTCTCAATATGATCAAATGGGAAATTTAGTAGCATGACTCCAAAATCATGCTTATTTTCATGAAATCTTATAAAATGTATTTAAAAGTAAGTAAAGTAAGCAAAAGTAGCCCTTAGGCATTAGAAATATGGCGATAAATACAACAAAATCAGTCATAAATGGCACATACCATGTAAATTATTAGTTAAATCTTGAATATTTTATACTTTTCATAAAATCTAAACATATTTTTCTCAAGTTTGATTTTTCTTGAAATATTTTGACTTATCTGGTGGCATGCGGCTTTAAATAGTACAAAATTTTATCACAATCACTGGCATACAAAACAATGCATGAAAAAGAATGTCAACATTTTAAACATTGATCATTTAAAAAAGAAAAACACCAAATATTTGAAATGTTATCAAAATGTTAAATCAACTAACTGATGATTGAAAATGTAAAGCAATAATATATCTTGTATTTTCATCTCATTTTTTAGCCATGCAGGGTGTGAAAGAACAAAACAAGAGCTGTCAGTAGGACAGCCCGCTCCACTATTAGTGAAACAAGAGCCTGGATAATGTAGAAGTTTTTTGAGTGCAAAAAGGGTCATATTAATGTCAAAGTCCATGTTAGAGTTAGGAGCTTTGACTAGTGACCTCCTGAAGTGCTCTCAAATAAGTGTGAGAAATTACAACTAATTCTCCACAGTAGTTTTTCGAGATAACAACTCTCACCCAAAGTGTGATGTAAACTTGCCCGCCTGGGTAAGTGCAATAGCTCTTCTTAAAACTACAAATAGTTAAGCAAAAAAGGAAATTTCTAAAAAGGGGACCCTTCTTCTATAAAATTACAAATTAACACAATTCAATGTTTTCTAGAAAAGATGATGAAAGACCTATATCAACCTGTTCGAGTTTGAGGGTTTTGCTTTATTAATCGATAACCTGTTTTGGTTCTCTTTGACCTTCATCAGAATAATAGCGAAAACATCTAAATTTAAAAGCAGGGCAAGTTAGTTATTGGAAAATGGGAACTAACCCATTGCAGGTGAACAATTTTATTTGACTGTGAATAAAATAAGTAAAGCTGATGAAAAATAGATGTTTGGTCTCAATTTGACATAAATGAGTGATCCTTACATCAAATAACTCTTCCCAGTTGACGACGGTTCCCTGCGGTGTTTGAGCCATCACTTCCGGTATAGTTTGAGTACCAAGGGTGTCTGGTGTGGCCGGCATCATCATCGAGGTAGAAAAATTTGAAGCTGTCGAGGCCAGAGATGACGACTTACGAACCTGAAAAGTACGCTGATACACGTCAATAATCATTTATAAAACCGTGCATTATAATTTGTGATTAAATTTCCTTACAGTGCATAAAATATGTGCTTAAATTTCCTTAGTATAATTACATTCATTTTCAGTATACCATTCCTATAAATGAACATTACAGTGGCTAAAAGTATATACCATTAACCTCATTGAACCAAAAGTGATTATCCTTTGCACCTATATAGAGTCACACCAGCCTGAACTCTCATGCAGTCTGACCAGACTCAAAAACTGTTGGCTATCCAGCTTCAAGTTTTTATCTTGATAACCTTAATTCAATAATGTGCAGACAAAAAATGGAAGGTGGGCAAAGCCATTTGAAAAATTCAGCATGTTAAGCTGTAATTGTAACAAAATTTAATAACATCATAAAGAAACATTTATTCGAAGCGTACTGTCTGTTTTCTCTGGCATGTGAAAATTTATTTATAAACAAACATCAAATAGAACCAAAGTTGCACTTTAGTTTACTATAATGGTACCTACCTTTCTGCTTTTTGAAGATTTTCTATGGTGTGCAAATTTTTCAGTTCTGTATTTTTCATCTGTCGACATTCAATTGATCTTTATTCAGTTTACAATGTTAAATCACACCTCTCTTGTCTTGACAATATTTCAAACCTATCTTTTCATGCTATTTGAAAATTTCTACAAAACTATTATGGCTGCTGCTTCTACAAGATTTCAGTCTTACCTTTGCTGCTATGACAAGCTGTACTAGTTTCGGAGCATTACGTAACATGTCAACCGCTTCCTGGTGAGACAAACCAATCAAACTTCTACCATTGATCATCAACAACTCGTCACCTCTTTTTAATCTTCCATCCCTTAAATTATAAATAAATGGAATAACAAATAAAATCATCAATGTAATCATATGATGACAAACAGTACCACTGGAAATATGTGACATTCTGGCTGCATGTGACATTAAAATTTTATGTGACATCAGCAATTTGTGAAATGCTGGCTATATGTGATATTCTGGCTTTATGTGACATTCTCATGCTATGTCACATTGTGTTATATGCAAAAATCTGGAAATGTGTGATATTCTGTTATTATGTGACGTTCCTACTATAAATGATATAGTGGCTTAATTCTACTATATGAGACATTAATATGCTATCTGAAATTTTGCTATATACTCAAATTATAAAATCTTTGTTATTCTGTCTGTATGTGATATTCTGGCTTAAGTGACATTCTGGCTTTTTTTGACATTCTAGCTATGTGTGTCACAGCTATGTGTGACATTCTGGCTTTGTGTGACATTCTGGCTATGTGTGTCATGGCTATATATGACATTCTGGCTATATGTGTCATGGCTGTATGTGAGATTCTGGCTATATGTGTCTTGGTTATATGTGATATTTTGGCTATGTGTGTCATGGCTATATGTGACATTCTGGCTATGTGTGTAATGACTATGTGTGACATTCTGACTATGTCTGTCATGGCTATATGTGACATTCTGACTATGTGTGTCATGGCTATATGTGACATTCTGACTATATGTGTGTCATGGCTATATTTGACATTCTGTGTATGTGTGTCATTGTTATATGTGACATTCTGGCTATGTGTGTCAAGGCTATATGTGACATTCTGGCTATGTGTGTCATGGATATATGTGACATTCTGGCTATGTGTGTCAAGGCTATATGTGACATTCTGTCTATGTGTGTCATGGTTATATGTGACATTCTGACTATGTGTGTCATGGCTATATGTGACAATCTGGCTATGTGTGTTATTGCAATGTTTGACATTCTGAACATTTTACATCAGATAAAAAATATATTTGATAAACTAAATATTTCATCAATTTAAACACATACAACTTCTTACAGTAATTAAAATCCCTTAAGCCCACCCACATTTTTTTTAATAAGAGCAATCATTAAAACCATTAAAACAATAACTACTCCCAACTAAATACTTCTCCCCAACAAATACTATCATAAAATATCCTGAAAAGCATTGAAACTGTCAGTCAGGAGAGACTTTTTTCCTCGGATTTTACAGGAGAAGCTATCGAAGCCAGATAAACAGTGATTGGTTTCTCTGATGAAGCCATTAAACTGTTTAAATCTTCCTGCCATTAACTACATTGCCAAAACATTTGACAGAGTGAAAGGTAATATAAACAGGCAGGGGAAAGCTTATTAACTTTTTAACCCTTAGCATGGTGAATTTTGAATGATATATTTACCTAACTTACAGTTTTGGAACTGTGTATTTTAATTCTTGGGGGTATCAAGATGCCTAGTTTCCAAGTTTTGGACTGTCTCATTATCAATTTTGTGGGTATCAAGATGCCTAGTTTCCAAGTTTTGGACTGTGTCATTATCAATTTTGGGGGTATCAAGATACCTAGTTTCCAAGTTTCAGACTGTGTCATTATCAATTTTGGGGGTATCAAGATGCCTAGTTTCCAAGTTTTGGACTGTGTCATTATCAATTTTGAGGGTATCAAGATACCTAGTTTCCAAGCATTATCAATTTTGGGCGTATCAAGATGCCTAGTTATTTTGGGCATATCGAGTTGCCTAGTTTCCAATTTTTGGACCATCTCACTATCCACTTTGGGTGTATCAAGATGCCTAATTTCCAAGTTTCAGACCGTTTCATTATCAATTTTGGGTGTATCAAGATACATTGTTTCCAAGTTTCAGACCGTTTCATTATCAATTTTTGGTGTATCGAGATGAAAATTTAAAATTGTTCGCCAACACTATGTAGCCTGGTCAAACTGAACTTGCTAAATATTTTATGACAAAATTCCGTTCTCGGTGACAATGATAAACCATGTCAGTGTATTTGTTCGAATTTTACCACAGCTGTTGCACGTTCTGATTCATATACAAAACAAGATCAATACAATGTATTTAATTAGTATCCAACATCTGTCTATCATATGTAAATACATTATATTAACACAGTCATATATGTATCAACAAATGTGTTTGTAAATATTTAGCTCTTATCCACTGAAGCCTTTTACAAACAATGACTGGACGACTTAGATTCTTTAAGTTTATTTTCAAATTCATTGACTGACTATTAGACCTTACTAATGTTCCTATGTGCAATACCTGCAAATTGGCTGAATTGGCAACCTTTTATGAGTCGTTAAGTGCATTTTTCTAGCAGCTAAATACCGAAGACCCTTATAATTGACCTTAAGGACATTTTCACTAAGACCAAATGTGTTCCCAAGTACAAATTCCATGACTGACAGACTGACTGCCTGATTTACTCCTGGCATTTTCCAACTTACCGAGACCAAATGTGCTCTTTAGAGCAATTTTCAGCTAATTGAAATTTCACTGGGATTCTATATCTCGACATGTAAATGCATATTACAAAAAGCCCTTATGTGTCTCAGTGCATTTTCTCGCTTAATGTATTTTTCACTTTACTAAGTCTTTATCATAAAGATGCTTATTCAAACTTACTAGTTGACCAAGATTCTTGAAACAAGTCTTAAAGAGCAAATTTCAGCTTACTTTTGGACAAAACACTATAATATCTTTATGGCCCTATCTGGAGTTTACAGTAAAACCCTTACATGGTTTGAACAGTATCTTATTCATGGTAACTAATATAATAAGTGATATCTTATAAATATTGGATTTTAGAGAGTGATACAAGTGACCTTAAATTGTCGGAATTCAGAGTCCCTAAACAGAGTATATGAGTGAAATCACCCTTTGTTGCGAGCCTATACAATTCAATATGTACCCTGTCTTGCGAGTACAAGCATATGTTTCTTCCAATCACTGTACCCTTCTTGCGAGCCTATTTTTTTAACTTGTATCTTTCTTGCAAGTACAGGAAGTAGACTGGTTTATATACTGTGAAACTGTGGAGGGGAAATAAATGAAATTTAATGACCTTAACCATTCAGTCAAGAAAATTTCTAATCTTTATACCAATCACTATGGATATTTTTCTTACCTGAAAGCTGGGCCATTTTCTGAGATACCAGCCACAAAAATACCAATATCACCACGTTTGGAGCCTTTCCCGCCTGCAATATGTAATCCTAAACTGTTGTTCTCCTTCAATAAATGCAGCTTTATAATCATACGCCTCTGAAAAAAAAAAATGAAACAATTTTGTAATTTTCTATCCTTTGGATTCTTTGCTTCAGATCTCTCAATCGAAAAATAAATTTGCATATTTGTAAGGTTTTAAATAATAACATGCTGAATTCTTCTTCTTTACATTTTTAACTTGTTACTATGGTTTCTTTACACACTTTCAAAATCAACAACGTAAGTGTTGTTCTGAAACACCCATGTTGCCCAACACAAGGCTGCCCTACACGTAGTCCAAGTAATTGTAATGCATGATGAGATATTGCGTTATTTTGTGTCTGGGCAAGGGAGATTCTGACCCAGAACGAATATATCTCAGAATCTAGCTTTATTTTGACTACCCTACATGCTCATATAGAAAATGGCACAAACCATAATTAGCACACATATACCAGTATCTCTTTCAACTTTCCGAGTTTAAAGAAATAATGGAGTTTAAAGAAATAATGCGGAAGTAACGGAAATAATGCGGAAATTACGGAAGTGTTCTGCAATTAATTCATACATCTGTAGATACTCTATCCCTTTGAAGTCAGGAAAGCCTCAAGATTTATTTGCGTTTTAATACCTGAGTTCAAAAATTTGTATCCTTAATTAACTGTTCAAAGTTTGAAGAAGAGTCTTACAATAAAAAAAAAAAAAAAAAAAAAAAAAAAAATATTCATTTCATCTTTAAAAGTTTCTCTAAGCATGAAAAAGAAAAAAAGATAACCAAATTTTGTTGCTCCCTACCTTCACAGGTGGTATTTATTTCTTCACAGGGAGGGTAGATATTTCATTTTTTAGCCTTGAACTGTTTATTTCTTTTCCAGGGAATCATGCTAAACAAATCATGAATGAATGTTATATTTACATTTTGATGATTTTTTCCTGCAAGATTTCCCACGCTTATTTTTTTTCAGGCAGCTCTTGGATAAAGTTTCTTTGTTTAAGATTTTGTTCTTTGGAAACTTTTAAACACTCGAGAAAGTTTTATGCTTTGCCAAGGAATATCCATACTTGATGCTATTGCATTTTCATAATTATGACAGTTAACTGGTTTATGATAATACATAACAGCTGCTGTTATATAACAAAATTTTTATTTTTTTTATTTTAAAATTCTTGAAAACTCAATACTGAATGTCTGTAAAATCACAACTGTTAGTTTGAGGCTTTTAAGAGAATAAATTAATCCATTCAATGATTAAAGTCTATAAAATTTAACCAGGCCAAACTTCTATACTCAGATTAATGATTTATGATTGCCCTTAAAAATATTAAATTGAACTGTTCCAAATTTCAAACCAGGCAAAATCCTCACATGAAAGACTTCAATTTCGGTACCTGGCAGAATTTTTTTACAGTCCTGCTAGGAACCTTTATTTTAAGTTTAGCACCCATATTCACTTGGCTAAATAGGACCCCTCCCCACCCCACAGGCAGAATAACATACATTTCCAAGTACTGCACATAAACATGATTTTTCTAGAATTTTATCTGACATAACAATGGTAAACAATGCCTGTTTATAAATTTAATAAAGGGCAAAAGGATTAAATTACAACATAGAAACCTGAATTTTTGATGTATGACTAAACAGATATAAATTACACACAGCAAGAACATAAAGATGGATGAGGTTTCAAAGAGAACAGGATATAAATTACAAACAACAAGTACATTTAACCTTCGAGAGACCTAGCTATATTAATGACACATCTATATCTCCAGCTTATACTGAAATGAACACTTTTTTGGTCCTATCCAACTAAACGGCTTTACTAGACAATCAACCAGTAATTACCAATTTCTCCGCAAGTGACCGACAACTAATCCTACATGATTTCTGACTAAAGAGAGACAAATGACCATTAGACGATTAATTGTCACAGAGAAATTTCACCAAATCTAAGGATCAAACCAGCCACCCCTGGATTATTAATCATGCCCTTTAATGTGCATGCAAAGCAGAGCGACGGACAGAGCCCAGCTCGCTTACATATCTATGCAGAATGACTGCCCGATTATGGTATTAATTGCTATAGAAATTGCTACTATAAACAAAGGTTAGTTCCAATTTCAAAATAAGAGCATTCCATTTAAATAATTTAGGGGTGTAAAAGTGAATTTTCTTCAGAATTTGTTGCATTTTTCTCAGAATTCCGGTAAGTTGTGATATAAACCAGGTTTTTTTTTCTGTATAATGTTTACAGTAGTTCTTAGATAACCTGTATACACTGCAATTAATATTCTATTTCATGCACCTGTATTGCACAGTTTATCTTATCATATTCACTTCTAAATTGATTTAAGAGTAGAAAAAGAGAATAATATTTCACGAAATAATTGGTACACTGTACAAGATACTTTGCCTAAGGTAAAACAAGGGCAACGCTGTCGCAATATACGCCCGTCACAGAAGCTTTGAAAAGAGATGTGGGCATTTTTTTTGTTAGTTTGTTTGTTTGTTTCATTTAACGCCTTTTCCCAACAGTATTTCACTCATATAGGCGGGTAGCTTCCTAACCATCGTTCCTGGAGAGTTACACCAGTACTAGACTACCTTCCTCCGTGCTAAACTACTAAAGCATCTCCCGGGGATCGAACCCACACCAGAGAGGTAACTGGATTAGAAGTTATCGACTCTAACCCCTCGACCACAGAGGCGGTTTTAAAGATATGCATATAGGAGCTATGCTCTGGGCAATATCTGGATACCTCTGACCTAGAGACCTGGTTCATGCACCGGACACGGCTTCTCAAAGCGGTGAACATTTCTATGAAGTTTCATTAGAATCCCTTCATATGTGAAGGCGATATGTTCTGAACAAAATCTCTATATTTTATTATCTTAAGTGACCTTCACAATTATCTTTAGTAGCCTTGACCTTGCATATGTTAATCTCACACCGGTAGTCATGATAATTTCAATCCCTAAATAAATGATGACTAAATGGTCCCAATACACATTTTCATATTTCATCTGAACTTTTCCCCTTTGTGTGACCTAGACCTTGACTGCAGCGCAACACTCCGTCTCAAAATAGTGAATATTTGTGCCAAATTATATTGAAATCCCTCTATGCAATAAGGAGCTTTGCTCCGGACAAGCGTTTTTCAATGACCTCTAAGTGTGACCTTGACCTTTGACCTAGAGGGCAGATTCATGCGCGTGACATGCCTTCTCATAGTGGTGAACATTTCTATGAAGTTTCATTAGAATCCCTTCATATGTGTAGGAGATATGTTCAGGACAAAATCTCTATATTTTATCATCGTTAGTGACCTTGGCAATCATCTTTAGTGACCTTGACCTTGCATATGTTAATCTAAATTACATGTTTCACACCAGTTGTCATGATAATGACCATTTGTGTTTCAATCCCTTAATAAATGATGACTAAATGATCTCAATACACATTTTCATATTTTTATCTGAACTTTGACCCCTATGTGTTACCTTGACCTTGGCTGCAGGGACATAAATTTTGCACGCGACACTCCACCTCACAATAATGAACATTTGTGCCAAGTTATACTGAAATCCCTCTATGCATGTGGAAGTTTTGCTCCAGACAAGCGTTTTTCAATGACCTCTAAGTGTGACCTTGTATAAAGCAATTTATGCTTGCAGTTCGGGTTCAAAGTAGCTACCATCAAGTTGTTAATAGTTGTTTCCAGGAGCAAGACAATTTACACTCATTGCTAAGTACGGTTGGTTCTAGAAATAGATTAGAGAGTGTACCTCCTATAAAATCAAAATAAAATAAATTTCTGTATCCATTACTTTGAAATATAAAACCATTATACATTGATATCAGTTGACCTAATTTTGTAACAGATGATTACATTACACTGACCTAATTATGTTATAGATAAGTAAATTACATAAGTGTCAAACCGGATGCTCACACTTCACTCATTTAAGATTGTTATCTTTTCTTTTTTTTAACATATCCTTAAACAATTATGTGTATGATGGACATAAATTGACAATATGTTCCAATATTAAAACTTCGACTGCAACAGGCTGAATCTTACATCGGCCCCTTGTTATTGGTTGAAAATATCCTGGCATGGCAAGTTTGATATATTGAATAGGGAAATAGGGTGGATTTATATAATTATATATTTAGTTAAAATAGTAAAAACAGCCTGAAGGCTTTTTAGTTTATACAGAATTTATTTTAGTTTAGTCTAAACATATTTATTTTAGCTCGATTGTGAAAAAAGTTCTTGCAACTTATATTAATCACTTTCGAGTCCAACCAGTACTAATGTCATATGAAGAAACATGGTCGTGACCAGAGTAGGAAGCTTCAAGTCTATAGACACAGTCTCGAATTCATTCCTATTACCAACCAGTACTGAACAGTAAATGTAAAATGTTTTGCTCAAGAAAGCAATGAACAGGACAGGATTTGAACCCATGCAGCTAGGGATCTTTGAAATTAAAGCTAATTTGAATAACTACAGTTTGATTTCAAGAATTAACTCCTACTAAGAAAACAAAAGAACATTGGAAAACATGTTTGTTTGTTAGCATGGCTCGAACCCATGAACCATGAAATATTTGAATGGTAATCATAATTTACCTTGCCAATGCATGGAGATGGCTCACAGCTGAAGTCAAATTCTGAGCCGTCACAGCTCCACAAGCTTGTTGGTGTGGCATTGTTGGCTTGTCGGAACAAGTCCGAGTTCTTTGATGCCTTTCGTTGACGATAAATACTTTCACACATCAGAACTTCCGAATCGCTCTGATACTGGCTCAGTTCTGTTTCCGAGCTGTCTGTGTATACACTTGAAGGCGGTACTCCATAATTACACTGTTTAGCTAATTCTACAGTATTTACATAATCCAATCCCGATTTGTTGGATTTCTGTTGATTTAAATCTTCTATCGCTGATGCATTTTGTCCATTTTTTTTACCCAAATTCCTAATGTTTTTTGACCCTGAGGACTTTTTTTCGACCTTGGAGATTGATCCCGGTTTACAAAATGGCTCCCAAATTTTTTGGAAAATAATTTTTGAACACTCTGAGGGGGAAGGGGAACCCCGTCTTTGGGAAAACTTTAAACATTTTTGAATTATTCAAAGAATTCAACGTCAAAGAATTTCCGTAACTATTACAAAAATCGGATTCTAAGCATGATGCAGATTTTGTGAATGGAGGTTGCCGTGATAAAATTTGTCCATTGGTTAACGCATCTCTTTCTATCAAGTTTGAGCTTGAGCTGGACGAATACTGAGTATGTAAACCATTAGTGGCAGGTGGCGGAATAGGGGCGTGACGTTTTCTTTTTCTACGAACTTTGATAGAAACACGACCAGTCTTAACAGCCTCCTCGAGAATATGCCTGAAAATAGAAAAGAAAATCGATTTTAATCATTTTTCAAATAAATCCTCATTTGGTAATGAATAAAAATAGTCAAATGGTTATTATATACATTTGGCTGTAAGTAACAATTTAAGGGGGTCTATTTAAAGCAGCACGCCTCCAGATTCACGCTAATTTTCATGAACATTTTAAAAGTGTATTTGAATGTATAATATTGTGAAATCATCCAAAGCAAACAATTTACACATTATCAAAGACACTTATAATCTACATAAATTACCAAAAGAAATGGTCAAAATATGCATTAATAGATCTTACTGTGTTAGTAACGCAGTAGAAATGTAGTTGTAACTACTGAAAAATCAGTCATTTACCACACAAAACATGTAAAATATTACTTGAATATTGAATCATTTTACTTTTCCTAAAACATAGTATATATTTCTCAAGTTTGATCTTGTTGAAATATTTTGACTCATCCGGAGGCATGCAGCTTTAAACCAATTCTATGAGTAACATGGGGGTCTACTAAAACAAATGTTGTGAGTAACATGGGGGCCTACTTAAACAAATGTGTATTAAGTTTAATGAAGCATCAGGACCATGTTGCACCAATTGATAGAGAAGAGCTGGAAAGCTGTCATCATGTGATTTCCATACATTTGATATATGAAATAAAGCACAGAAACTTTGAAAAATGAACTGTATCAGTGTTTTTTGCATAGGTCAGATCAAAGGACTTTTATTACCACTCATAAATAAAAAAAACAATTCTCATTAACTACAAAAATTCCTAATTCGTCTGCTGCCACCTGCTCTTTTTGTCCCAATTTTTGTAATTTTACGACTCAAAATTTTCCTAATAATTTGGCACAACCTGACAAGTTTCAAAACTGGTGAAATAGAATACACTGTGAATGTTTTATTATACAAAGAAAAGAGGAAAAAAACCCAAATGATTTCTTGGCATAAAAGGAGAATCTCAATAAAGTTTCATCAAAATTGGTACAAATGTTCTTGAGTATTTCATAGTGCTAAAGAAATTGGTAAAATCTGCAAAATAAAATATAAAATTATAAAAACATTACCAAGCTGTGAAAATGCAATAAAAGTATTTCAACCAATCATTTATATTATAAAACTATGTTCCGTAACAGACATTATTCAGAAAATTTAATTACAGAATGTTTGCAAATCTATTTTCACCCAGATAATTTACAATAAGACTGACTGGAAGCAAAACCATAATAAAATTACGTTTTACATCTAACACAAGTGCCAGAATTATTTCTAAAATGTTTATTACCTAAACACTTCAAGAACCATTGCAGCAACATTGTAATTTTTGCATTTTCACAAGAACAATTAAGCCTATGTCTTCAAATTAGAGCAAAGCACAATGTAACACTGTAGTACCAAACAAGTCTTAACTGTTTCCCTGCTACATGTGTAATGGACTAACCCCATTTGGATTTTGGAACTGTACATTGCTTATTTTAGGTGATATTGATATTAAAATGCTATAATCCAACAGTATTTAGTGCTCGCCAATTTTTTAAGCCAATCACCGACGAGGATTTTTCAAATTTTCAGGTTTCAAATCTTAATAGAACAGATTTTATATAAACTGGACGTTTTATATTATAAAACGCAAGTGGGCGGAGCTAAGTTTCGAAGAGCGCTAAAGTGAAATATACGCATGTGCAGAGATCTTGAGGTTTACTCCTACTAATCAATATTTATGCATCATGTTTTTTCTGTACACGCACATGTATATCGTCACTACGGTATAGAATTAAAAAAAGAGGTTCATTGAAATGAAAACAGGCAAAATAACAGTAACAATATTTTATTACTTACGGAACCAGTATCATTTTATAATTTCCAATAAAAAGTTCACTTATTCCAACAAAGTATGTATGTAATATTTCTTACTTTTAATGTAAAATATTACAGCCCGTGCCGCTGCAAAAACCGAAAGTAGGGTGTTTTATTAATTTTACATTTATTTTTGACAATTTACTGCCATTTGTCCGAAGATGATATGTATATGAACATAATAAAAATGTATGATGCATATATAATCAAGCTATAGGTTCATTTCAGCCCGAAAAACATGTCGAGGTGACGGGCGAGGAAAGACATGTCGACTTTTTGTAGCTTATTGTGAAGTTGCAGTACATGAAAATCGGGCACTTGACAAATCATCACATAAATAAAACATTCTAGTGTTCCGTGGTATACATCTTTTCTACGTGTCATACCTCCTTTCCTTATTACAATGAATTTTTACTGCATTGTTATCTATCGCTGGTTTGTTTTTAGCAGAGAGTGGCCTGTGCATGTGCAAAGAGGGTACCGTTTGAGAATATTTTGCAAAGAGGGTACCGTTATGGATATGCACCGTGATATTGTCTGATTTACCTTGACAGAATGCGGGAATAAGCTATGCAAAACACGTGACCCGTAAATGTGTAACACTATCTCTTCCAAATATGGTTATACACATTTCTAGGCTATCGTGTGACGTCACGCAGTGTGTTGGGCGGAAAAGAAATGGGCGGAGCAGTAAGCCGGTTAGAGTGCATATTGGATGTTCTTCGTAAATAAGAAAGCTTAGTAACAGTCGCTTCGCAAGCTCCGCTCCTTTTTAGCTTTCTTATTTACGAAGAACACCCAATATGCACTCTAACCTATACTTCAGCATTATAAAAGTCTTTGGTCTGATTCCTCAGATGTGCAGACTTGCTTAATGGCTCAATTTATAGCTTGATGAATTTGATTAACACTACCTCAGAATTCAACATGATACCAAATCTCAGTGTCAAAGTGGTAAAGGTCGCTGACTTCAATACTCCTGCGCCTCACAGCTGTGGGTTAAGATCCTAATGCACAGAGGGAAATGTAAGGTCTCCCTCCACCAGGAAAGTCACCATATGAAGTTTCCTGTGTTCAGGTTGCTATATACATAAAAACCAACAAAAAACAATACCCAATCCCAGTGCTAGTTTAGAAATACATTTTTATAAAGAAATATTTTTTATTACTTTAGAAATATTCAAATCGACCTGATCCCCTTTATTCTGAACAATTGAAATTCTTATAAAATTTCAAGTTGTTACCTCAGAACTCAGCAAAATTAATGTCTGCCTATGACCACCACCCAGTGTTATTTTATTAATTCCCCTTGAACCTTCAAACCATTCCATATGCCAGCCATTATAAAACATATCATCTTTCCTTTCATCTTTCCAATTTGGCTAAACCTCACACACACCTTTCCATTCTAGCACATCTTTGAACTCTGATCTCTGTTTTCTTCCCAAACAATTCACTGTTTTTTCAGTTCCAATTCAAACAATTAAATGCCAGTAATAGGGAAATAATAGGGAAAAAATTAACATTTCTGATTTTTTTGTGCCATTTATCTTTATTATGGTACAGAGAAATGTTGCTGGGGAATGGATTTGATTTCCACAATCATTTATAATGATTTCCTGGAAATCTCTGTCTATACAGTCTGGGATATAAACAGCAGACAGTCTTTTCAGACGACTTATATAAAAAGTTTTGATTCTACCAGTTCTTTGCTTCATTTATATACCGGTACCTAACTTGAAGGAGGTTGTTTGCACAATCATGATCAAGAAGAAATGATACTATAAACATTAGGTCAAAATGAGTCAGACTGTTGGTGATTTATTGCTAAATGAATTGTCAGCTCAACATTTTATACATTATAATTAACAAGCAAATTCGTTGAATTTATATCCCCCGCCGAGTACTGGTTATTATTAACACAACAACTGAAGACATAAGGCTTTATTTATATATTAATCATGGCATAAACTGTAATATTCTTTGAACTTGAAGCCAAGAAGAATTTTTAAGTTTTCACTATATACATATAAGGAATATCTATGACCCCCTGGAGTGGGGCCAATTTTGACCCCAGGGCTAAAATTTGAACAATTTTGGTAGAGGACCTATAGGTTATATCATATACCAAATATCAAAGCTCTCGGCCTTGTACTTTCAGACAAGATTTTTTAATTTTGCATTTTTGAAACTCCTTTTCTGGCCCGGTGACCTACTTATGCAACAGACCGTAACAATTTGATCAACTTTGTCAGGGGACCACCCTAGGATCATTCCTGTAAAGTTTGGTTGCTGTGCAGTCATTTGTTTCTGAGGAGATGTTGTTTAAAGAAATTGCTGACGACGCACGACGACGGACGGTGGGGGATCACAATAGCTCACATAGATGTAAAAACATCTTAATCTCCAGACTTCATTGCCATTTTCAAGGCATCAAGAAGGGATCTCACAATTTTCAAATATTTTTAAATGTTATTGTAACAAATCATTTTAATTCTTCTTTAATAAAAACTAGAAATCTGTCCATAGGACACGGGTGCCCCCACCGCGCCACTGTTCTGTCAATCTTATGACTCTAGGTCAAATATTTTTTGAAAACTAAAAATCTTTTTACTAAGTAAAGGGCAAGAACTTTACAAATACTGAATAAATCCCCAAGCAAACCCCAAGTTGAAAATTGCAAATTTATACTACTGTAATTCAAGGGCAATAACTCTAACAAAACTGAAAAAAATCCACATGCAAAGTCCCAGGTTCATAGCATCGCAGTGACGTGAATCATTATTCCTGTAATTTAGTGATGTTGATCATTATTCCTGTAAAATTGGTCGATTCTAACTCAAGCACTCAAGGATCAAATAACAACATAATGAAACAGTTTTTACTAAGTCAAGGGAAATAACTCTACAAATACTGGATAAATCCACAAGCGAAACCCTAGGAACAAACTAAATATGCTGAGCAACTTTCCAATAAGGTTTAATGACCCTATGTCAAATCCTTTTTGAGTTACATGCGACACATGTTGAAAATTGCAAACATTTTCTAAGTCAAGGGCAATAACTCTAAAAATACAAAATAAATCCAGACGAAAATACCCAGGTGCACAACTACACATGCTGATCAACATTCCTGTAAAG